AAAGAACAAAATGAAACCTGGATTTATTGGTGCATGCATTACGTGAGCATTGTGGAACCATCTGTGTTAATATTTGACTGCCCCTAAGCAATGGCTTTTATCAGCATCTGTATTGGTTACCATTGTATTTCTGCTGCTATATTTATTCATTATCCAAACATATTTGTGACTACCTTATTGTGTTTTAAATAATTTTAAAGAGATTACAATGAGTTAGTAAATGTGTGATTATGGGGCTTTGAGTCAGTTACTGCCAAATGCGTTTGTATTATGCAATTGTTTTATTATTTATGCAAAGTATAGAAATATAGAAATAATATAGAAATATTAATAAACTCAGAAACCCCTTACATTATACATAAAGAATTTGACCATGTCTCAAAGCTCCCAAAGTAGTAATGATCACATATTATAAGCAAATCTACTTTAAGAATGACACTTTCCTATTAGTATTCTGGATTTATTAGTAAAACTTTGCCTTTACAATACTATCTGTTAAAAATCCATATCTGCATTTTACAGTTATGACATATATTTTGACAGACAACCATGCATCCATCCATCCATTTTATAACCAATTATAACCATTTTATAACCACTTTATCCCAATGAGCTGGAGCCTAACCTGGCAAGCAGCAGGAGCAAGACAGGATACATCCTGGACTGGATGCCAGCCCATCACAGGGCACACAGAGACAATTACAGACTCACACCAGGGCTAGTTTTCCCAGAAACCAGATAACCATGACTGTGGGAAATTACCACAGCACCCAGAGGAAACCCACAGAAACATAGGGAGAAATACAAATGCCACACAGATAGCACCCCATGCCCCAGAGCTGCAAGGCAGCAATACTAACCAGAGCACCACCATGCCACCATGATTTCAAACACTTTCCAGTAGTTCTTTATGAACTGCAATGGATACTGCTGTAATGATTTTTATTGTAATAAATCTAAATCTTCTATGTGTTATACATGAATTAAATACAGAGATTTGGTTACTGCAATGGCATAGTGGGCACATAGTCTTGCATTTTGCATTGTACCAGCTGTACAGACACTAAAGAATCTGACAAAAGCTTTTCATTACCAGCAGGGGGCAGAATACTAAAGAGCTCTGCTATGAAAGGCGGTTAATGGAAAAAAAAAGTCAATTTATCACATTTGGAGCACTTTGCTATTTGCAAAAGCTGGCAACATCTGCCATCATGCCCCATAACGGATATAATGGGAGTTTACCAGGTTTTTACTCCTGCATTTATAAATGGACGCAGAAACTCAGACATGTACTGGGATAGTGGAGAATTCCAGTCAATACGCTCCACTCCAAAACCTTACCATGTGGTGTCAGGAAGACATACTGTATGTGAATGGCTGTGATTATGAATTCAAAGGTATTGATTAAGTCAATCCAGTGGATTTCTTCAGAATAAACGGTGAAACAAGAATCAAAGGACACAAGTGAAAACTACACAGTGTAGTATAGATGTAAAATGGAGAACAGTGGGCTAAATGCCCTTCTCTTATTTATGTTATGTATGTTATTTCTAATCCGTGAAGTTTATTTTGTGGATAACTAACAAGATTTGCTTTATTTGTTGACTTATCCTCATACGTGTTATATGAAGTAATGAGGAAGTACTGTATCAACATCCAATATTTTTCTAAGGAGAGAGGGACTAGTGATGTCAAAGTAGCAGGATTATAAGTAAAAGTAATACACAATAAAGGGCTAACTGAAAGCTTATTACAATGGTTTGTCTACTCTACGTCTTAATACAGAACTGCTAATAAATATTCAAGTGGTGAAGCAGTTTCTCACTTCTCTGCTGGTAATGCTATGTAGCAGGTCTGCAGAAGCACAACGACTTTTTCACCTCACCCAGGTGCTGCACTTAAGTGATGGAGTCCTCTTCTATATATAAACCAAGTGATAGGTAGTACAAATGCAAGACAATAATTATTGTAGTATGTACAGTATGTTATTATTACTAAGAATCTCTACAAGACTGAGGGTAGTATAGCAATGTTTAAAAGCAAGTCACATTTCAATATCCAACAGTCTACTTCCTGAAGAGGGTTAAGGAGGTTAACATTATCAAGAATTCTGGTCAATAACATAAGCATTCATCCATCTATTTTCTAACCACGTCTTCCAATTCAGGCTCAAGGGGGAGCTGGAGCCTATCCCGGTAAGCAACGGGCACAAAGCGGGATACAGTTTGGACAAGACACCAGTCCATCACAGGGCGGACACACAGACACAGACGTGCGCACACACACCAGGGCCAGTTTTCCCAAAAGCAGGTTAACCTGCCATTATGTTGTCTGTCTGTGGGAGGAAACCAGGGCACCTGGAGAAAACTTACATGAAGAACGGAGAAGACGTACAAACTCCACACAGACAGAACCCCAGGTCTGGAATTGAAGCCAGGGCCCCAGTGGTGTGAGGCAGCATTGCTAACCACTGTGCTGGCATGCCCTGTGAATACACTCATATGTGCTCTACTGTATATCTTAACTGAAGCATATTAGGGTATTGAAAATTAAAATGCCCAGTGAATTCGTATAATAAAATTACTAGGTAATTATACTAGGTATTATACTATACTTACTAGGTAGGTGAGCTTCTGTTGAAAAAACACCCAATCACAAATTAACATTTGTCAAAAGAGTTTTAAAATGTGTTACAAATATGTTATTATAGCTGTATCACCTCTAAAACTGTTAATACTCACAATGCAGTCTGGTTTGTATTTTCTGTGAGGTATCCCCTTGACATTTTCCTTTTCAACATTTTTGATCAACTGTCTTGACACCTCAACTAGGAACAACTGAATTTCTTCAGAATAAACAGTGAAACACAAGACACAGGACGCAAGTGGAATCTAAACAGATGTGCATTTAAAACGGAAAAGAGTAAGTACTTCTTTACCCATAGGGTTGTGGAGGTAAGGAATCGGCTAGCACAATGCCCAATTCATATACAGTAACTATAGTTGAGCTCAAGCTGCAAAAACACATTTCAAATTAATACTACTTTTTTTACAAATATATAATATTATATATAGAAAATATATAGTTCTGTCAGTTTTTATTCTGCTCATAAGAGTTACTTTCTAAGGTTTTTAAATCAAAGTGGAAAGTAAATCCTGACACAAATCCATGAATGATTTTAAATCCAATTAATCCATATTTTAAGCTACAGTCAAAAACATGAGAATCTTGATAATATTATTATGTGCATTCACACCTTTTAAAATGCTACACAAGAGATAATATAAACTTAAAAAAGCAATTTAAGAAACATCTGAATATTCAGAATGTTGTGATATGCAAATCAAAATAACTAGTGTGTCTTCAACAAGGGACTGCACATTTAAAATTAAATTAAATAAATCATGCCTACATCATTCAAATGATAAAAACTCATTTAGTAAAACTAATGTTCAATTCTGATTAGCAGTAATGTACCATATATATTTTGCCCCGCACTAAACATAGTGCGTTGCAGTGTTTCAAATGAAATGGATTGGTTAGGTTTAGCAAATTAAAAGTTTGAGTATAAAAGAAAATCTCTCCAAAATACAGTAAGTCAACAGAAACCGCATTACCTCAAGATGCAATGAAGAATGAATTACAGAATTCAGGTGGTAGAAACTGCTTTTCAACAGAACCCATGAAGAAATTATTACATAAACCTTCGCACCAAAGCTTGGAAAGCAATGAAAAGAGCTCATGGAACTATCTCTTGAATGTTTCTCCATAAGTGCTTTGAAGAAGTATTTTTATGTTCCTTTTCTGTTTTCAGTCGAGTGTGGGTGTTCATCACAGATCACACACAGGAAAGAAAAAATGATCAACTGAGGCAGTATTTTCCAAATGAGAAACACATACTGCTAGATATTTTTATACATTTCCACAACACAGCACCCACCATACACCTTTTCACTTGCAAATGAGAGTATCTGTGCATTTTGATGGTAGTTCGTAAAAACACTTAAAGGTCAAAATGTTCATCTCTCAGTGGTACAATTTCTGATCATTGTTGGCTGTGGACTGATTTTCTCATCAACAGAACATGGAAAATTGTATTAGAATTCCTCAGGCCTAATTTATTTGTGTGCAACTACGAGAGTTGAAGTTGCTTAAAACTAAAAGACAACAGGCCTGCAGAATCAAGATGACACAAATTATTGGGATATTTTCCTTTCTTTTTCAAACCAAACCCTTCCTTTTTGAGAAGGTTTCTAAAGGTCTGTGAATAAGAAGGAAACTGGGATATTTCTTCTTTTGCTGCACAGTTAGTAATGAACTCTGTAGATACAGAAAAATACAGATTTATCCTGGATTTCTGGATCATTGATCTGAATTAAAAAAACAACTACTTTTAGTTTTTACTTGTTGTTATTATGTCTGTTATATATTAAGGTCCTTTGTTGGGTTTACCTTATTATATTGCCATCATGCCCTTAAAGTCATAAAGAATGAGAAGTACAAGATAAACCAGTTTTTAGTATGTCCTGTATCATTGCGAACATGTACACTTATTTTTGTACGGGGTTATCCCCAGCTGATTATTTAAAACGCGTAATTTACACTGCTTTTAGTGTTGTATCTTTCTTGCATTTTAAATACCCATAAAAATGCATTCTAAAATAGTCATACTTTAGAAATCTGTTTAACCTCAGATAATTATATATTACCACATCAAAATTATACTGTGTGGGAATATTTTGTTCTTAATTGTTACTGTAACGTAAAGATGATCAAAACGTTAAAAAGAAAAAACAAGCTATTCCGCTTTGCGACATTATCGTTCTTAAGAGCTTTACAGTTAAAATAACTTATTCATATAACACATTTTAAAACTCTTCTGACAAACGTCAATTTTAGCTCGAGTATTATGAGCTCCAATGAAAATCCGACAGAGGCGGAGTCGTACCCAATAGTATCACAGCCTGCCAACTACAAGTCGGAGTAAGTGAGGGTTGTAACAATCGTGATGAGCAGTGAGCAGTTAGTGTACAGCACAATGATTTCACCATGGTTTTGACAAGTCACATCGATATTTCTGAGGACATTTTGTATTTTGTGTAAATAATGTGGCTCGCTTATTTGTAAATTAAAGCGGAGGTAATTTTGAAGGTAAGCCATTTCGCCCTTTTGGATAATTACTGATTTGTTTCTTACTGAAACTTTATTATTAATATCGTTATCAATAGTCTAGCAATAGGGAAACCACAGATTCGCATGAAAATAACTTATATACTTAACCTAGGTTTGGTGGGAGAAAGATATTTTGATATTTGTTTTTTTTTAAAAACTTTGCGCCCCTCAACCCCCTAGAAGGTGAAGCAGATAAAGTTAAATATTGTATAGAAGTAGCTATGATTAGAATTGATGTCTGTGCAACAACACATATTTATTATAAAGTACTAGTGGGTTGTTTTACTTTTCCATTAGTATCCACAACAACATTAAGTCAAGATGCTGAAGTCTGGATTTCACAGGTTGCGACACGTCGAGGAATTAACTGGATTCCTGTTTGCTAGCTGTCTTTTTCCATTTAAATAGCGCTGTTTTACCGTTTTCACATCAAATGTGGAATTAAGTTCCTTCTTCAGACTTAACGAGTTCGGTCGATGTATTAATAAACACGTGGTGAAAAAGAGCGTTAAGTTTTATGTGGTACGATTAACTGTTTACTAAATGGGAAATGTGATGCAGGTCTATGTAATGTGAAGCAATTCATGTGGAATATATTTAACCATTAACCAGAGACTACGTATGTGCAGTGGAGAAATTAGTCTTATAGAGTTCTGCCTGTATGTACTGTATGTCTCTCGTGCAATTAGAAGTATTTATAATGGTGTCAAAGTATGCTGACACAACGTGTTTTATTGTGGATATTTTCAGGTATTTTACCACCCCACGAAAAGTTTTGCGTTTTGTAGATGCAGGTGTATAGATGGACATTTGAAACGGACGACTTTTGACATCTGACCAGGGAACAATTCAGTGTAGTCCTACAGAAACTAGTTCGAGTTCTCTAGTACATCACTAGATGAAATGTACAGTCTGCTGTGACTAATGGTACAGAGGCAAACAAGGATTTAGCTATGTGCAAGAAAGGGAAGTGTTAGTGTTTTTGTTTTTGTTGTTGTTGTCGCTAGTATATATTTACTTGCAGAAGTCCCCACAGACAGAACTGTTGTGATTTTTGTCAAAGATGTAAACATATCTGTGACGTCAATGAACTGATTCCTGGCCACCTTCTTTAAAACAGCTTTAAAATGCATGCTAATCAAAATCTGCATAATATCAGTCAAGTCATCACTGGAATTTTGATTTGTAAGTGGTACAATAGGTGCAGCGAATGAATGAAAGTGAACATGCTGGATCATAGGGTATTTACAGGAAAAGTGTTGAAAGACTGGTGTTAAAAATAATCATTTTCTGATGACTGCTAAGAAGGATTATGTAAGATTGGCCTGCATCCTGTTGGATCATTTTGTACTTTTTTTTTAAAAAAAAGAGGCTATCTGCGAGCAGCACAGTGATGTTGCTGTTATCACTGCTGCCAAGTCATGGGGTGGATTCTGTGTGATTTTTCCATGTTTTCATATGGATTTTCTCACAGTGATCCAGCTTGCTGTCTGTGATTGATTGGCTATTCCTAAATTACCCCTTTTCTAGCCCTGCAATGGACTGGTGTTCTCCCCAGATCACATAATTTCTATCCTGCTTTGTGCCTCATGCTTCTAGGAGAAGGTTCTGTGTTGCCATGCCAGGCCCTCTATCAGGACAAGTGGCTTTCTGATAATGGATGGTATCTCTCAGGACTCACACCTTTGATCGCAGGACTGCCAATGTGACTAACAGCTGTGCTCTGTACAAGGGGGTCTCTCATTAATATCAACGCTTGAACACATCTGCAGGGATGCAGAGAGGTCAGCTCTTCTATCGCTGATCAGCCCTGCTATTTCTCACAACTGCTGCAAAAGTAAATACTGCTAAATAAGTTCTCCATTCATCAAAGCAAGAATGCTACTGATGCATGACATCCTCATTTAATGAGAAGTCTCTACATCCCCTGACAGCACAACTTGTTTTGCAACATTGTGCTTTTGGAATTAGTTTGGTTTAGGATTAAAATTGAACGGTGTTACCTGTCTCTTGAAATGTGGTTCCCCAGTTACAAAAAAATTGATTGCATAAAAGTAGCATTTAATTGCATTAAAGATGACTCAGTTACACATTTAAAAAGGACTACAACGACAACACCTGGCAAAATTAAAAGTGGTTATATTATTTACAGTAGCTTGTTTGAATTAGATAAACCTTTCTAAGAAGAATGTAGATAATGTAATACCATCCTGAACAAGACTAGTTTTCCCCTGGAATCAAAACAGTTCTGCATAATAAAGCTACAGTATATTATTTTTCTGGCAAATATTAATTAATCGTGTAGTTCGTTTAATGTTGAGCACCAACATTGATACAGATCAGGGTCCTGTTATTTAAACTTTAGCCAATTTGATGTTTTTTAAGTGAATACAGCAATATCCATGACTGAAGGCGGCACAGTGGCACAGCAGTGACTGCTGCCACTTTACAGCACTGGGGCCCTGGGTTCAGTTCTGGATCTGGGGTGCCATCTGTGTGCAGTTTTGATGTTCTCCCTGGGTTTGCGTGGGTTTCATCCGGATTTTCCAAGTTTCTGGCCCTGGATGAATTTTGTCTGTGTCTGCCCAGTGATGGACTGCCATCCCATCAAGTGCATATCCCAACTTGTGCCTGTTGCTCGCCAGGACTGGCTCTGGCTCCTCCGCTTGGTTAAAGCGGTTCGAAAACGGATGGGTGGATTTACAGTGTGATTGCTAAGACTGGAGATAAATTGGTAACAATATAGGGAATGTACCTGACGCTTTAGAAATGCATCACAAACAAGCTATTGACATTACATTGTCAGTTTATGAAATATTTATATATGAAAACAATGATTGATTAAATAGGTTATTAATCATCATTAGTAGGGATCAATTACTACAATGCTGTATTATTTTTTTGTTAATCCATTACAGGTTTTTAAGAATGTATCTTTATAATAACACTAAACTATTAAGACATCCATTAGGTTTCAGCAGACCTTTCAAAATAATGTTGAAGTGTTTTTTTTTCACGTGACTTAAATGAAGAGCGCCTTAAGCTAACAATTTGCAAGCAGCACACCTCCGTTTTGAAAATAAAAGCTCAAAACCTTGAGCTTGACTGATTTAAGATTAATATAGCAGTGGTGAGAAGCTAAGAAGTGGCCCAGTGGATGTGCTGTTACAGCAGCTCGACAAGCATACAAATGCAGTGGAAGTTGTACATTACGGTTCTTGTTGGCCTTGTATTCGAGCCTCTGAAGGCAATAGATTTCAATTGTTGCTACACCTCTGAAGTTTCTAAATGTAAAGGTCAGTGTATTGATTTTGAACATTTCTGACCTTCTGCCGGCCCCTTCGCAATGTCTTTATAGGATCAAATCAAAGTGTGCTTTTAGAGCTAGACACCTGCAGGTACTGCAGCTTCTGTAATTCTCTTTGAAGTCATGACAAAGCACAATAAACATAGTAAGTGTAACATCAATGGCTAAGTGTGAAATCCCATCCTTACAATAACATTAAAACTGTCATATTGATAGCTTGCTCTTCTTTGCTTGTGTGTAATATGTAAGACGCATTGCAATATCAAAAAAATAATCTTACAATACATTTTTTAGTTGTTTTCGTTGGGAATCAAACAATACTTTTCTACTGAGTGCTTTGGAACTGTGTGCTGACTTTTAGGTTTTTTAACCCACATTGATCATAGTTGTTTTTTTAATTAGTATGAATCACTCATTGCATTTGGTGGATGCAATTTAAATATGAATTATGCATTTGTAACAATTATGAACAAAGATATTTTAAAAAGTTTTGTTTGGATTCTGTCTGGATTTTCTGGATGACTGTGCTGTGCTTTGCAGTTTATGCCCCTGTGGTAATAAAAAAAAATACTTTTTTGGTGGAATTAAGCAGATTGGTGCTAGATATATCCTCTGTTGATAGCACCCAGAGCTGTCTTTTGGTTGCCAATGCTACCCATGTATATCAAGCTTGTAGAATGTCTTCTATGAGGAGAACCCACCTGTGTAATTTTTCAAAAGTAAACAAATGTGCAGGAAATGTGGTTTACATGGTGTAATTTAAAAGCTACAGGAAGTGCTGGGTTAACGAACAACATATCACAGTGAAATTATTGAGCGTTCTTTAAGCGGCAGTTATTCTTTCAAGTTCCCGTAATAGACACATACAATTATCTCCTGAGTTAGTATGACTTCCTCAGTTCTAAGCTTTAGGACATATTTTTGATTTTTAAGAAGATTGTGTGTTTTCACAGCAAGGTTTGTACTCTAAAGTGTAATGTGTGATGGTAAAAGCTTGGTGATGTATAAGTGTTTCCATCTGCCTTGAAGTGACATAAAACCTGAGCTCCACCTGAAAGCAAACATTCCTGTGCGTTCTTTGTGTTTACATTCTACACAGTTTTAATTTTGTTATTAAAACTTGTTTTGGAAACCAGCAAGTATGTGCAAATATGTAATCCTCAAAATGACAGTAATAGCATTTTTAAATTTTCTATTGTGTTTTAACTTTAGAAAGGATGGTCTTGTTACCAGTTTAGAGCAATGAAGAAAAATGAAGTGTTTACCAGAGATACTATTGGAGAAAAATTTATATTTGTGAGTTAGCAGTATATGCTTTTATCCATATCACTGCACTAAGCATATCCAGTACTAGTCTAAAGAGATTTGGTACAGTTCAAAATTATAATTTAAAGATAGTTTTTTTTTTCAGGTTAACTCCTTATACTTTTAATATGCTGCCACAAGCAATTGGACATATATTTTTTCTTCAGTTTCCATTGTGTTTTTGAAAAATGTCATTTTACTTTCTTAAAAGACATGTCTCATTTTCTACTGAAAAAAATCATAATTAAAGAGATTACAAAAGGCTGTACCTTTTCCCCTAATAAAGTACATGAATAGCATGAAAAACATTGATTTCTGTCCCCCTGAGTATCATCTTGGTCTTATGCCTTTCATTGCGTGGCTAAAAAATGTGTCCGCAGTGGTTTTTTGATAGTTAGTGTCAGATTGTAGAAAAGATTCTGGTGGTAATTCTTAGCTTGTCTAAGTTTAAACATCAGAAGTATCTGTGTGAGAGAGGTGGGCCTTTCAATCCCGTGGTTTTTTAGTTTAAAAAAAAACTATAGCTGACAGGATGTTTTGCTTGAGCTCTGCCCTCAAGTGGAAAGTGCTTGTGAAAAAAGTACTTTCAAGACCTGCTCTTTTTTCCTTTTATTGTATTCTTTCCTTTCACGGAAATGTTAAAATCATCTGAAGCCCTAATGTGAAGCTAATAAGTCAGTGCACCACTGGCAAACTTGCTTTTATGGCTTTTACTGGAGACGACAGGCCTTTATAATGGCTGGGGTATGTCTGTTGGATGCACTGCTGTAGTTCCCATTTCAGAGTCATGGTCTCACTCATTTTAAAGGTCTCTTTAAATTGCCAGCAGTTTAAGACCCATGGAAAAGGGGGATTTTCCCCAGTAAATCATCCAGTAAGGCACAAAGTCCCCCAGAGTAACATATACAGATCTGCTCCCCTTTTCTCTGACTGGAGCTAAAGTTAATGCCCATGCCTCAACCATCATGAGAAGACTGAATTAGAATGGCTTTCATTGGAGGCCTGGAAACCCTGAAGAAACCAGTGCCCTCTAAAAGGTCCACTTGTTTCAAATTCACCAGAGAGTACCTGGATGATCCAGAAGACTACTGGATTATTCTGTGGACTGACAAGTCAAAAGTTGAATATTTGACCGCAGTTAGAAATGTTTTCTACAGTGTAAACCAAACACCACTTTCTAACAGAAGAACCTTGTCCTGACAGTCAAACATTGTGGTGGGAATCTCATGCTTTGGATTTGCTTTGCTGCCTCAGAACCTGGATGGCATGGCTTGCCATCACTGGTGGAACCATGAATCCAGTATTTTATCAGCGAGTTGAGGAGGAGAATGTCAGGCCCTCCATTCAGCTATACTGTAGGTCATGCAGCAGGACAATGATCCACAAGAAGATCTACAACAAAATGGCTGAGGAAGAAAATAAATCAGATTTTGGTTTGGTGAAGTCAAATTGCAGACCTAAATCCTACTGAAATGTTATGATTGGATCTGAAGCAGGCTGTTCATGGAAGAAAAACCCTCAAACGTTCTTGACATGAAGAGGTTCTGTAGGGATGAACGGATCGAAGTTCGTGAAAGCAGAAGTGAGGGACTGATAAACAGTTACAGGAACTGTCTAGTTGAAGTAGTCATTGCTGCCTAATGAGGTGCGACAAGGATATCTACTGTTGGAGTTTTGTGTTAATTAAATAATCCCAAAATATTTTATGTTCTTGTATTTAAACAGGCTATCTTCTTCTTGTATTGAGACCCCAAAATATGTAACAAGCCATTCAGAAGCTTTTCTTTGGCATTGTTTAAGAATGTTCAAAGGATTTATTCTGCATGTTATCAAAGGTTAGCATTGAGAGGATTTCTGCTGCTCAAAGAGATTTACGCTTTTTATTGCTGCAGTGATATTTCTGAAGATGCAGTCAAAGTAAATGCTAGCAATTAAGGTCCTACATGAAAGGTTTATTTCACGTTTTAGAGAATGTCCAATGGGACTTCATCTACTGTTCGCGTTAATAGAGGTTTAATGATCATCTAATTCAAATTTAAATGTTTAACTTCGCTTTTAAATACAGATTACAAATTTATGTTTTTAAGTGGATACAGGCATTGACGTATAAGTACGTGTATTAACTGCAGCGGACATTGCTATGATACACAGAGCAGGAGAAATGACTGGAAACACAATGCACCTTGTGTCTGAGAAGAGTGTGATAAAGAAAGTGATAAAATCTCATAGGTAAGAGATGAAATAATTAAGATACTGTATAAACTTTATTCCGTAGTTTCTCTTTTGTGGTACTTATTCATTCTTATACGAACTTTATTACTGTGTTTGAAGCTTCAGAAATATATGCATATTTAAAATTGGAAAAAAAAACAAAGTAAAATCAAGAACATTAAGAGAAGTGCATTATACTGTGGTTTAGTACTGTCTCCTATGCTCCTGTATCCTACTTCCCTATTTCAGATTAAGGCTGTTGTTGTGCATTGAAATAATTTCCTTTGGTGATTGTTTTGCTACAGTGATGTCTGTGATTTGAACTGGCATAACCTGGAGTCAAATGCTACCAGGAGGTTTCCTCAGTTTTGAGTTTAGGTAGAGAGCAGCAGTTATTGGAATCACACAAGATTACACCCGGAGGGGTAGACTGCAGTGAAGGCGTGTTACTAGGCAGGAGGCACAGCAGTGCAAGACAGTCAGATGGGTTTGAGATTTCCGTTGGCCTCTGAAAAACTCTACCAGTAACACGGAGGCTATGCTGGATGCATTCCTGTAAAGGTGTTGTATTTCTTTTCTATAAATAGGCCTGAATTATTTTCTTATGTCATACTCAGCTTATGCCATGCAGACTTCAAGTCGAATCTTAGAACTCTACTCATGAGAACCTTCAAGTGTGAAAAAAAATGGTGGTTTTGTTTTGTGGCTTTATTTTATTTTTAAACCCTAATGTTTTAGAGCTGTGGCCATCAGCGAGTTCCCTCGAGCAGAGTCTCCGGCTGACGTGACTGCAGGCTCCAGTGCCCCCCAACCAGGGCAAGCCCATGGAGTTTATCTAGAAGAGAAGCAGCGTCACAGGCAGGGCTTTTCACACAGATACTCCCCACAGCGCCTACTCCTTCTGAAAGGAAACCGCCTGTCACCGTTTGGTCTGGTGAGTACATTTTTCCAAATGGCCACTGTCAGTTAAAGATAAAAGGCTAATAATAAAATGAGGCCTTCCCAACCCAACCCTCACTGTTTCCTTGACATTTGGGCAGGTTGTTTGGGCCTTCAACAGTGAAGAAAATGTCTCCCTTTCTTCGTATTGGATTCTCCAACTTTGAGCTGGACTCTGTGCCATACCAAGAGGAGGTGCTTAACCCCTATTGTGCAGTGTACATGAAAGAAGCAGTGGACACAGGTAAAGCATTGGGATAGCCTTTGTTTATTGTGTTTTTTTAATACATTGTTTTCTTTCGTCATTTTTGTAGATGTCGGTTTTTTTTCCTTGATGGCTAACAATCCCCAGTCAATTAACTTTCACTTTCCCAACTTCTCAGTACTGTGCATACATTCAGGTATAGCCTCAACAAAGCTTGTATGACCTGCTAGTCAGTCTGGATAAACATAAATGACGGCAGCTGTCATATTGAAACTATCCTGGCTGTCCATTTGCAATATTTGTTTTTTAATATACAATAATTCTTTGAATTTTTGCTTTTTACAAGAAGTCCGATTAACTATTTATTGACAAAGATATAAATGATGTGTCAACATAACCTCTGGTCTACTTAAGCCAACAATGAGCTGAGTCAGATCACATTCAGAACAAGTGCAGCTGGACTGAAACCTGGTCAATACACAGGCTCTGAAGGACCAGGGTTGGGGATTCATGTTTTAAATATTTAACTCTGTTGTAACACCGGCTTGTGAACCAGCAATTTATAAATGTTAAGTAAAAAGACGCCACGCTAATAAGGGGATACCAAGATAACAAGGTTCCTCTCATTTTTAATTTTCCCGTAACACAATTATTAATAAACAGACTACAGAACACGAGTCGAAAAACAAAGAAGCCAAAATTTACGTTTGGAGAGAGTTCTTAGTGCTCAGAAGCTTATATTCAACATCATTAATGTTGACCACTCCAAAGCACTCAGAACTGAACCTAAATCAAGGGTAGGTGAGACTGCTTTCATATAACAGCCAATCTTCCACAGGTGAGCCTGAGAACTGACATTTCTTTTAGCTGAAGATAAAAAGGAGACTTTGGTCCCTAAAAATGCATCCAGATAACTGATAAATTGTGCCTGGGAGATCACCTATGAAAATGTAAACAGTTCCACCAATATGAAAAATGCATTTCTTTGCCTAAATGTAATCTTAAATTAATTGAGTGCAAAATATTTTTTTTCACATATAACACTGGGGCGAGTGAGCACCTGGTCATCTTTTTAAACATTTCCAGCCTCAAAGGTTGTCCAGCCACCTGCTGTAGTGTCAACTCAGATAGATACAGTAAACCTGCTGCTTTGCAAACATCTCTAATTTTAGTCATACTGGTGCCTGGGGTGGGAGAAGTTCTTTTCTAAGATTAGGGACATCGGTTAATATAGGAATTTTAAGACCAATCCAATTTTAAATCCAAGCACTGTGAGTCAGCTATAATTGGTAGTCTAGCCACTTGCTTGAGATAGAGTTTTGCCTGGTATTTCAAATAGGTCAAAATGGATTAGTAGTAATAAGATATATGTACACTTTGAGAGGCAAACTAATTATTACTCTAGTAATAATATTTTAGTACTAGAAAACTATTCTGAATAAAAATTATTCACTATTCTGAATAAAAATCATAATACAGTCAGACATTACTGAAAATATATTATAGAGTTAGTACATTGATTACTTTTTTGGGATCTGTACACTAAGATAGTATTAGAAGAAGTCACAATGTGTGCTCTTTGCGTACTTGCTGTATAAATTGCACGCTTATTTATCTCAATTTTGAAATGTGATTAGACTAAGCAGAAACTGAAATGATGTCCACGTCTTCTGTACACAGTGCTAAAGAACAGTCAGCTTCACACCCACTTGTGTGTGATTGGAAAACCCACAGTTGTGACCTCTAGTGGATGTGGGCTGTGTGGCGTTCTTTACAAAACACAAGAAACAACTTGCAGCATCTTGCTTTGTCAATATAGTTAAATTACACTGAAAAGAAAATAAAATTCTGATACTGTGGAAATGTTCCATTTTAATTCTGTTTGCAATTTATTTGATGTTACCATGTTGCCCCATAAGAAGCACCAGATATAGAGTTTCACACTGGAGGCTAGAAATTGATCTGTTTTCAGTGGTAAAGCAGATCTCTTGTAGGCTTAAAATCGGGGTGGTACTCTTGTGTGTCTCCTCATATTGTACCAAGCTGAAAGAGTAACTCATCTTTAGAAATGGCACTCTTTTATATGGCTGTAGCACTGGCGTTCTGTGTCTCCCCGCAGTGTCCTAGGTGCAGGGACCTCAGCTCAAAGAAATGAGGATTATTCCTCTCAGTATATACTGTCACTTTTGCATTACTGTGTTTGAAGCTGAAGAGCCAGAGCTGGTCTAAGATCAATGCAGGATCATCTCTTCACTGATGTGCAGGCTTTGCTGTTGTGCTGTAGTAAACCACAAGAAATGCTTTGAGTCAGTCTGTCAGGAAATATCAACATGGCCTATGTCGCAGGTTCATTTAATGTTCCATTTTCTCCATGAATGTGTTTTCCAGTGTAGCCTACATCTTTAAGCTCTCCAAGATGAGACATGCATAACCTTAGTGACTTTTGTTAATATACTGTAATACATTCAGTACTTAATGTTAAATATGCACAGCATGCAATACATAGTGCTTATAAGCTGACTACCTGCACATTGGTTTGTTGTTCTCCAAGTAGTACTGTAAATGCCATACAACTTTGAAGCACATGTAAAGCAGCACAGTGTGTCTTTAGTAGCTCAGGTGGGTAGCTGTGTCAGCATGCATAGGCTGCAAAGGAACAAGTAATAGGTTTATTCCATGCTGAAAAGAGAAGAAAGAAAGCACAACGTTTTGGCCATGGAGCTTTTTTCAGGTGATATCTGAAGAAGGCTCCATGAACAAAAACGTTGTGTTTTCTTTCTTCTCTTTTCAGCATGGAATAAACCTATTACTTGTTACAGTGTGTCTTTGTTTTGTATTTCAAAACTTTAACCCAACTGTTTAGGATATGTAACATCTGCCAGGAAATGAAATATATATTTAAATGTCTTAATAATTGAGAGACATTTGATATTTTCTTTTAAAAAAGGAAACAGATTTCAATCTTTTAGTGACAAACCTTGTGGTTATCGTTGATGATTTTGAAAAAATGAAGTCTCCACTATGTCAAACTACATGTTTCACAACTCACCAGAAATTAGGGTTGTTCTGTTCTTTGTTCCTTGTGTAATGCCCACAGTTGGCCAGATTACTCATAACCACCTTAATCTGACAACATCAGAATCTTCCTGAAACATTCTAGATGTTTCATGCTGTGCACTATAGAAAAATTACGGCTTGTTTCTGCTGGCAAATTGTAGTAGTGCAAGGATGTGTGCATATCCAAGCTCAGGTATAGTTATATTATTCTCTTCAGCCAATCAGTCCCTTCAAGATGTTTGATTTCTTGTGTTTGACTTGTTTGAACAGAGAAGGGGCAGGTCTATAAGCAAAAGAAGCCAACCATGTACCCTCCCTGGAACACGACCTTTGACGCCCACATTAACAGAGGGAGAGTGATGCACATCATCGTGAAGGATAAGACACTGGAGCTGAAGTCAGAGGCAACGGTGCAGCTGGACTCCCTGGCTACCAGGTGTAAAAAGGAAAATGGAAAGTTAGAGATCTGGGTGAGTCTAGGGACGTTAATATTCAGCCATTAAAAATGAGAGTGGTGTGCTATTAAAACAAATTTTAACTGCAGACAAGTGCTTGAGATTAAAGATTAAACAGAAAGTGGTGCTGGCCAAAGCAGTGTCCTTGTCTGAAACAGAAAACAGTCAAGTGGTAGCAGTCAAGATGGAGCAAAAACTTATCAGTCAGTCTTACATAAATGCCTATCATTCATATACAGTACGTGAGCAGATGCAATCCCTAATAAGAACAAGTAGCTCATGGTTGAATTATGAAACAAACAGAGGTAAAAGAGTTTTTCAGACTTTGCAGAAATACCAAAAAATAATGTGGAACTAAATGATTTAAGTTGGATTTTAGGCATCTGCAGGAACCTCTACCAGTTCTGCACTGGGTGACTGTTAAGTGTGCAGAGTAATCTTAAGTTCTAAAGGTTAGAGTCAGGGACACAAACACAGGTGCCCTGAATTCTTTTTCAATTCTTTCACGTTGCATAAGGGGAGTGAAGAAAATTGAAGTTTAAAACCAAAGTATTTTAAAGAGGAGTTTGTTTCAGAGAAAACAAATTACTCAGAACAGATTACAGGGAAGTATATAAAGATAAGTAAAAAGACTTTGGTTGTTTGTATTGGGTGCATTTCCTTTCTCTAGCATTGAAAATGTGATGTCATGTGAAGTACAAAAAGTGAGATAAAATATCTAAAAAGAGATTTAACTATTTAGACATAGTATTCAGTTCTGTTCAGGTTGCCATCATTGCTATATTTGTTAGCTTTAGTATTGCTAATCGCTCTGTAGAATTCCAATTATTAACAACAAAATAAAGATTGCAAGAGGTTAGTCTTGTTGCAGCAGACATAATGGTCCAAACGTCATAAAACAAACTGCAAATGAGGATAAAGTAGCTTGGAAATTGCTTTACTTTAAGATGAAAAAAGTACTACTCTAGCTATGGTTCAAAATGAAGGCATTAATAATCTCAACAGTATTGAGATTTCAAAGTATTATGTTTATGGATTGTATATTCTCCTCATGTTTGTATGGGTTTCCTTTCGGTACACCAGTTTCCTCCTATAGTCCAAAGGCAAATTTGATAGGTTAATTCTCTTCTAGTAGAAATTGGCCCTGGTGTGAGTGTGTCTGCGTTTGAGTCAGTCTACCCTGTGATGCACTGTTATACACCATCTCACGTCTGTTGCTTGCCACTGCCTCCTCTGCGACCCTGTATTGGATAAAGCAGTTAAGAACTGGATGGATGGAAATGAGTAAATAAAACACACACATTAGCAAAAAGCTTTTCTTTGATATGTTCTTAATTCCAGGTGGAGTTAACGCCACACGGTCGCCTACTGATGGAGGCCAGGTACTTTCTAGAGAAGAGTGGTAAGTTGCGTGAACATAATCTCTTTTTTGAGTCTCAAGAAAGCTTGAGTCTTTAAGCTGCTTTCCAGTGTTTTTAATGTTGAGACAATCAGATAACATTGACCAGGAAGTGCTCACAATGTTTAAGTTGAATTTGAACGTTGTCATTACCTTCACCTCCATCTGAAATAACATTTGCTTCAACAAATTAGAATTCTGCAAAGTTTCATAGATTCTGATATTCACTTTCATCTTTGTTCTGTGAAAATGAACTGAACCCCCCTTAGATTACATAATATACAAACACCAAAAATCTGTTCTTCAGAAGATTGATTGTCTTGATGTGATTGTGAGATGGTGTGAAAATTGTTCATAAACTTAAAGAAGGGGACATACTGCAGTAAGCCTATTAATTTTACATGGTGTGGTTTTTATGTTTTGCTTGTTAAAAATACAGAAGACATGCAGTAACATTATTCATAGCATGACTTCAATGACAAATGCAGTCATTGCAGCTGTCAGCCTTTGGTTTAAGAAATGCCTTCAGTAAGTAATTTCCAGTCTAGCTTGAGGGCAGTTTGCCAAATGTTTCCCCTTGCTGTTCCACTTAAACCACACAAATGTCACTTTTGGAGAGAAACTAGCAGTACAGTAGAATTATAATGTGGCTCGGGAGACAGTTGAAAACCAAGGCATGGTTTTGCAAATCATTTTCAGGACCCTCAGTGTGTATAATAAACATTTGTACAAAAACACGTTGCAGCATCTGCGTATGTTTTTTAAAAGAATATCTGTCCAAGTTCCCATTTTTCTTACAATATGCTAAACATTTGAAGTTAATAAGTATTCTTCATTATGGGGTATTGCTTTACAGACTAAATCATTCACTGTATTAAGCTGTTTACAATCGTGTAATTTCACACATTTCAACAATACTGTATATTAATTTATTTTGCCTGTCTGAGCTTTTTTTCCATTCAATGTTTTATCTTCCCATTCATCATATTTCTTCTGAATTCTTTAGTTGCTACAAACATGAATTAATCTGAAGCTCCAAACCCAAACACTTTCAAAGTTTTAAGCAATGGATTAGAAAAACAATAATGAATATTTTAAAAGTGTCTGTCTAAAAGAAACTAAGGTCTTTTAGTGCATTGTTCCTCTATTTAATGACCTTTGCTTTTAAATACCCCTATTATTCAGTAATATTTAAGGTTTTTTAATAAATAAAGGTATATAAAAGTAACAAGTAGATCATGCCAATATCAATATAATTAGTACCAATATTAATGTGCATAAGGAGTATAATAGTGGTTTCTGGTATTTATAACTCAGTGTTATATGATCAGGCTGTCTGGAACATCCATTTTAAACCAAATTGGGATTGAGACACTGTCCTTCTTGAGAGGATTTTTTTCAAGAAACGGGTAATTTGGTCTGAAACACTATGGTTCTATTAGATTTATTTTGCATTGCTTTTCCTTTTCTGGTTGTTCTTAGATGCTGCAGGACACAGTGAGAGTGAGAGTGAGAGTGAGGGATTCTTTGCCCTGCATCAGCGTAGGGGGGCTATCAAGCAGGCCAAGGTTCACAATGTAAAGTGCCATGAGTTCACTGCGACGTTCTTCCCTCAGCCCACTTTCTGCTCCGTCTGCCACGAGTTTGTCTGGTATGTTTTTATTTTTAAGAATATCTTGCAAAATAAATCTGCATGCACTTCCCCAAACTGTAAACTGTGCGTGACAAATATGGCTCATGTATAAACATACTGTCCAGAAAATGTATGTCACATGAAAACTGGTGACGTAAGAAAACATTCAAGAAGGGCATTAATGCATAAATGCATAAGGTCCTTAAATTGCATTTGCAAAGGGCAGACTCAGTTTATTCATTGGAACAGTGGTGGTAGCAGTGAGGAGCTTGCAAAGACACATACTAAGCCACCACAAATTCATATCAGGAAAATATCTGGCTTACATGCAGTGATGTAATTTTATGCTTCAAACTGAAATGCCCCCAGAAAGGTGCCAACAACTGTTTTTGTGCACAGAAATACCATTACAGCACTTCTGATACTTTACAATGCCAATCATAACGTCAAAGACTGGACGGCCGAGTGTAATAACCCTGACACAAGACAGTGGGGTCTGGGTCACACACTTGTGTAGTCACCTTCAAGGAGCAGCTGCAACAGGCAGAACACTGCCCAGCAACCGAAGGATCCGTCCGCAAAAAGTCACCAACAAGTTACGTAAATTTGTCACTGTCGACCAGCAAAACGTCCAGAACTTCAGCTACAATTTGTCACCATGAGTTACAGCTCCAGTGGGGCAGGCAGCACTGCAGTCAGTCTCATTATTGGTGGAGTAACGTCATCTCCACTCACAAAACTAGATTCAGCTCAGTGCGCAGTGAAGAATGACAGTGTCTGAGTCAGACTGCATCATGGTTCCCTTCATGTCCATGGTCCAGGTCTTGTGATGTCTGGCTCTGCAAAGCACGCTTTGTCCAACAGACTTCACAACAGCAACAGATTTCATATATGTCCATGATATGAAATGCCTTTGGTTGAGCACATCTGGAATGAGACTGCTGACCTGTGCAGGGACCTGGTCAACATCTGGAATAAAGCTGCACAGGTGTTCTGCACCAAGGTAATGGGCCCTATGAGGTGCAGTAGCCTTGCAGGTAACGGTGCCAGTGGTGGCCATCAAAGACACTGACTTGGTGATTTGATTTTACACCAATACATGAAGCTATGTAGGCTGCAAAACTTGGATGGGTAAAGTGTATGGATTGTTTTAGAACTTCATGCACTATTAATTTTGTTATATTGTTGCACTTCTGTATTCACAAATATACTGCTTTGCCATTCCATTTACACTTTCTTTTTTTGGGTGCGCTATATGTAAAATCAGACAATTCTTGTGGTTGTGGAAATTTGCAGTAGAATTTTATAAAATATCTTTTGTACGTTTTGTTTTGTTTGTTGTTGACATATTTAAAAATGTATTTCTGAAGGACTGTTTTCAATTGGATTTTTTTCAGGGGTCTGAATAAACAGGGCTACCAATGCAGACGTGAGTACATTCTAAAGAGATCAATTCAGATAGCACACGTTTTGTAAGATAGAGAACATCTGTGTACTTAACATTTTTTTTCTATTTGTTTTTAGAGTGCAATGTTGCAATTCATAAAAAATGCATTGACAAAGTGATAGCCAAATGTACCGGATCTGCAGTCAACAGCAAAGAGACAATGGTATGGACTGTGAGGATGTGTACTGTTGTACTTTTCAGTGAATAAATTTGGTACAAAAGGTACTTTACAAAAAATAAATGGATATAATTAAATGGTTAAGGATGTTGTAATTAATCTTTTTAACCATACTTTCTGCAAATATTTTACTGTTATATGAAGTTTGTGAAAAGATACAATACTTAAAGTATTTTACATAAGAGCAGTTTACAGAATAAATAAACAGTGTCATGTGTATATATTTTTCTAATAAATATAAATTTCAACTTTAAGACAGCTTATTTTTGGAGAAGAAATAGAACTAAGTTTGCACTTGAAACTAATATCTTTGTTTTGTGAAAAAGTACCCCCAGCCACCTTTTTAATCCTAGACTGGATTTGAGTTTGCCAGAATTCAATTTATATATGTATAATTAAAGATCCAGGAAATGGCTTCTGATGCATGGCCAGGGAAACTGACTTATTCTTTTGATTATGAAATAGAAGTTCTTCTTAGTAACTGGGGAACTTCCTAACTCACCATTAACAGTCACGTAAACCAAATACTAAAATATATATAAAGTACCACACCACACCCTAAGAACATTAGTGGTATGCAAAACTAGAAAACGAGTATCATTAAGTATGTGTTTCTTTAAAAGGCCTTGTAGGTCACAGTTTTGTGTCTTGTGTATGGCCTGGTTCAAAATAGTAAAGTTTATAAGAAAAGCTGCATTGACCGTTTCTGCTCATTAATCTATTTGATTAAATTAATTAATCAGTTCTTTCTGTGCTTTTTTTTATTAAGCGGCTTACACTGAAGCTCACAGATATTTTAAAAGTAACACTATTAGTGTTAAAAAGTAACACATTAGCTTGGCCTCTGACTTGAAATATTTTTTAAGGTTTGAGACGGAGACCAAAGAAGGCTTAGCAGGGTGGCTCAGTGGTGCAGTGATTAATATCGCTGCCTTGCAGTGCTGGGGTAGGCCCTAGGTTTAATCGGGGAGCTGGAATGGTGTCTGTATGGAATGTGTATGTTCATCTCGTGTTTGCAAGAGTTTTCTCTCACAGCCCAAAACCATGCTCGTAAATTAATTGGCTTCTGGGAAATCAGTGTCCCCATGTTTGTGTGTCTACATTGTAATGGACTGGCATCCAGTCCAGGGTGTACCCTGCCTTGCTCCCACTGCTTGCTGGGATAGGCTTTGGCTCCCCTGCAACTTTGAATTGGAAGAAGCTGTTAGAAGATGGATGGATGAAGAGAGAAAGCATAGCAGATGCAGAGCTCTTTCACCTGGGCTTGCAGTTTAAACGCTTGTACTGTTGCTCCTTTTTAGATCCACAAGGAGAGGTTTAAAATAGACATGCCTCACAGATTTAAAGTCTATAACTACAAGAGCCCGACATTTTGTGAACACTGTGGAACACTGCTATGGGGACTTGCAAGGCAAGGTCTGAAATGTGAAGGTGAGCCATTCACTTATCCTTCTAGGCTGTCTGCAAGGTTTCTCATTCACAATTCTGTTGTTAGGATGTACAGTAGGAGCCAAGCATTTATCAGCCTTGTACCTCAGATTCTGTGATGGGCTGTTAACATTTGTCTTCTCCCTACAGAATGTGGAATGAACGTTCATCACAAATGTCAGAAGAAAGTTGCAAACCTCTGTGGAGTAAATCAGAAGTTAATGGCTGAAGCACTGGCCATGATTGAAAGTGCACAGCAGGTTAGTGCTATGATCTTACTAAGTATTTCCTCTTGGTGAGATGCTGCATGCTTGTAGTCCTATTGGAGAGATAATATGTAATTTGTTCTGACTTTCTACCTTTTTTGTCACTTTCTGAGGATACAAAAACATACTAGTCTGCATCCATTAACAAACTTGGTGGTTTTAATTTTGAATCAATTTGAAATTTCTATAGAACATTTCCAGGGGTATGTCCTTATAATTGACTACAATAAGAATTACAGTATGTCATTAGTATGAATGTATAAATTTTGAGTTTTTACACATTCAAAAAGTCCCTTTAAAGTTCAAAGAAAAGCAAAACAAAGTTAAAAGCGCTTCTGAAATGAAATCAAATTTTCAAAATGAAAAAAAACTGCCAAGACTTTTTATAAATCATAATTCATCCTAGAAATCTTTTAAAATGTTTCTGTATCAAAAAGAAAACCAAACAATAACTTTGATACTTTGAAAAATCATTTCGGCACAGAGTATGTACTATATTTTGTCATCACGTTTCTGAAGTGTTTTTTATTTTGTTCAGTATTTATTTTTCATTCTCCCTTTCCTATGAATTAAAAAAATAAATCTTCCAGTTGCAGTGAGTGTGGCTACTTTTGATGAACACGCCATTGCTTGGTAAAAGCCATGTATTCAAGCATTTCATCACACAGAAATAAGAAGAAATTACGTGGGCCTTAGTTTCTAACCAGCAGAAGAGAAACAGGCCACATTGTACAAACTACAGCACCTGATGAACAAACATTACTCATTGAGGTGCCTACACAAGTAACATGTCAATATATATATTATATGTACTATCACTTTTCACAAACACCTCCAGACACTTCTTTCAGATGAAGCAGTAACTGCAGTCTTCACCCACACCGACACCCACTTCACACCCACTCAGCTGTTCATCTCTTAGAGCCTGCAGGCAAAATCATCATCAACAACTGTTGTCATGTGATGGATTTTAAGGCATCAAAGCACACGCTTTTACTGAAAATGTTGTCTGTTATCTTTCCATCCAGTAGGCTGTCAGTTGTGTCATACAATTACTATAGATGTCATTTTAATTTAATTTCACTGCTGCTGCTTAACATTACACAGAAAAGACTGTAAAGAGATATCCACAAAACCCAGAATCTTGACTCAAGCAGTTTATTGAGTCAACACATCTCATAAGATGAGACGCTGTTTTGTACATTTTTATGGTATAGAATTTCTATATTGTGTAAGCCAGCCATTTGTCAGCAAACATTGAAGGTTTGGAAGCCCACCAATGAATGATGGATTTATAATATATCATTTTTTTCTTCATTTTAAAACAACACGGCATATCTGACGATTTTTAAAATTTAAATACATTTTTAAGTTGCTGTATTGGAAAAATACCACCATTCCTGCTGTACTTAGTGTTTTTAGTTGAACATTGGAGATACAGTTGAATTTCACTGAGGGATTGGAAGTGGGGGGAATATCAGGAGGTATTCTCTCACACAACAGGAGGTGAACTTTATCAAAATTAGTGTTTTCATCCATAAGGCCCGATGCAGCCGTGACACAGAGATCATTGGCAGGGAGGGGCCAGTTGACATCAGCCAGCCTGGTGTTATAAGAGAGCCATCTGGTGTTCAGCACATGCCAGCGCCTGTATCCACAAGGAAAGGTAACATAACTCTTCCAGGTAGAATTGTGAATTGTGATGCCTGCATTAACAACATTGTTCTTTGAAGAGAATGAAAAAGAAAAGAACACCGCAGTTCTTTTTGTAGCTGTTATTCTTTGTAACTTATAAGGGAAGACAGTCACAATTACAATGTTTGTACTGTAACTGCGAAGCAGAATGAAAACAGTCAGGTTTAAATTTCAAGATTATTAATCCAGAGACATGGTCAGGTGTTTCTAAATGGTTTTCCTTAACAGAGAACACATAGTTGTAATATAGCAAAACTAAAAAGAACAACATTCAATTTGTGGACCGTCTTCCATGTCAAACCTATATTGTTGGTCAATATAAACCTATATTGTTTGTTATTAGGTATCAGACCATCTTGCTTTGACTTCAGAAAGGTCTAAATGAAAACCAATGAACTTTCTTTTAAAGAAAAGCAGGTAATATAAAATCTGAAAAAAAGAAAAATACCATCAGCACCCCTTTACAGAATTTGGCACACCAAAATGAACAATTTGATATATATTGCAGAACAGGTTGGTCAAGAAAAAACATTTGTAGGTGATGACCTAAAAAATAATAAGAGCTATCAAGGAAAACACCAACAACCTCCAGAGTATGGGAGTGAAGATATCAAATATTTAAGATGGCAGAATTACGAAGGCTACACTGCAAGATGTAAACATCTCATCAGTAGGAAAATAAAGCCAGATTCTAATTCTCAGAGAAGCTTTGGAGCATAGTTTAATGGACATTAAAGATAAATCTAGGCCAAAGTGATGCAAAGGTTAAAGTGTGGAGAAAGGAACAACTGCAGCTTGTCCAAACAATACTATTTCATCTGTGAAGCATGCTGTCACAAGTAGGTTATATAATTTTACCACTCTGGCAAGTCACAGAGGTCACCCATGCGTGTCATGCTGAGGATATCCTGGCTGGCTAAAACCTACCCAGTCCTGGTAGTGCTCAGCCAGTTGTATGCTGTCTCTTGGGAACTCTCTGCCAAGGTTGCAGGCCAGATTCAAACCAGTAGTATGTGCTCCAAATGAGAATTTCAGTTGTAAATGCATGGAGGTATCTAATTTTGATTTTATGAATTTTAAGGAAATATAATATGTTAAAGCATAAGTGGCTATTGTGTGTACTGTCAATATCCTTTTATTTGTTATTTTTTATCACTGCCTTATTGCTTTCACACTACAAACAAACATGTATCACTGACTGTTGTTTAATGTTTAAATGTATTGTCTTCCAACCTAACTCTATACTGGAATCAAGGACGTCATGTCCACTAATGTTTTACTGAATATTGTTATTGTGGGAATTTGAAAGATGCTGATTTCTATGACACCTTGGTATTGAATATATCCGTTCTTTTAGATCTCCAGGGAATAGCCTGGGAATGTCCCAAAGAACAGCATCAAGAACCAGAAATTCCTGAACCCACGTATGCAGTAGCAAGGAAAGAAATGCGCAAGTTTACCATTGATGATTTCATTCTACATAAAATGCTGGGAAAAGGAAGCTTTGGAAAGGTAAATAGTGGAGAAAAATGGCCAATCTGTGCTTACAGGACCATTGACAATTCATATATGCATAAGAGATGGCAGTAAAAAAAACAGGTTTTAGGCATCTTGTGCTGTTGAATTGCATTTTAAAGGCATACATTAGATATGTTACAAACCTTACAGGGTATTCAGACTGTTTAATATTTCTGCACAATGATAATCTAAAGACAAAAATGAGCAAGGTTTCCACATTAATGTATAATAGATGAGCATGGAATTGTGTTATGTAAAAACACTCCTATTGTGTTAATTATTTTTATAAAAGGCTTTAGTACATGTATGAAATACCACAAAAATGTGTATAGTTCACAAAGACTTTGTTTTCAGTTCAAGCAGTAACTCCAGTTTTATATAGACGTGTGCACCTTGTTTGTACTGTATAATCCCGTTTGTTTGTACGGGGTATGTACAGTGTCGTACCTCATTACTGTATTCACGCAAGCCATTTGTCCTTTTGCTTTGAAGTTTTCAGAGTTAGAAAGGAACCGGTCTGTTTATTGAATCTGAGGGTTTTCGCTTTCAAATTTTAGACTAACAGCCCTCTTGTTTGACATTGCAGGTGTTTCTTGCAGAACTTAAGTCAAAAAATCAATTCTTTGCAGTGAAAGCTCTGAAGAAGGACGTCGTGCTGATGGATGATGACGTGGAGTGCACTATGGTGGAAAGGAGGGTACTGTCTCTGGCATGGGAGCATCCTTTTCTCACACACCTCTACTGCACCTTCCAGACCAAGGTCAGTTCACCCCTGGATCACCACCACTGGCAGGGCTGGAGTGAGCCAAAATAATCGTTAGCCAGCATTTTTATATGTTGATTTGCGTTATGGGCATCACCGATTCTAGTGGTGCTCAGCAATGGGGATGACTTTCAGAAAGTGAATAATGTGAAATAAGTCACAAGCTTTTGTTTTTATTTTTTGAAATGTTTATGCACCAAAAACATAGTACAAGACAAAGTTTCTTTGCCTTATGAGTTAATTGAATTTCTCTACAGGGCAGTTTCAGCAGAGAGCAATAGTCGTGTTTTCCTGCAATTAAATTGTAGATTCGGTTTGGGGACAAACCTCATACCACTGAAACAAATGAAGGGCTTGTACTTACAACATGTTAATAAAGAAATCATCTGATTTTCCGTTGTTGCCATTGATCAGACTTAGCACACTATTCCATGACTTATTGCTGATGTCTTATAGATGGTTTGATAGACATGAGGTCACCAATTCTTCCAATCGTGTTCACATGCCTGAATTTTACCAATTAATCATTTGCACAGAGGTAGCTCAGCTGTGATTTGATAATGTGGGTTTCTTTTGATAGGAAAACCTCTTCTTTGTGATGGAATACCTGAATGGTGGCGATCTCATGTTCCACATACAGAATTGCCATAAATTTGAAATGCCAAGAGCAGTGTAAGACATTTTACAGTTTTATATATCCATTTTTCTCATATCTTAGTGGAAGCTGAGGTGGCTGACAATATAGGACAGAAAATCTTTCCATTTTTCTTGTCCTGTAATAAGTTTTGTTATGTTGTTTAATATTCCGTGTTACATTTACTTGGGATAAACGATTAAAGCACCTGTTCGGATTACTAGCTCAAATTAATTTATTTAGCCGATGCTGTGTAGAGCACTTACATTTGTATTCATTCATATACTTTACTGAAATACCTTGCTCAAGGATGCAACAGCAGTGTCCCAATATGAGATGTGCTGGTTACAGTCCAGAGCCCTAACTACTGCTCCACACTGCTGTCCTGTTGCATGACATGTAAACATGTAGCTCTATGTGAATAATTTACAGTTTGCAATTACCAATACTTGCTTCAACCTTAATTTCATTATCTAAAAACACTTATATCTATGCAAATACAAGTTTCACTCTTTAACCCCTATGATATTAAAAAACAAAGGTGTAGGTGTGAGTGCAGGTGTACTGTACTGTATGTTCTGGGAGGTTGATTAATGAGGCTGATAGCAGCCAACAGGATGGAGATTTTACAGTGGAAAAATGTTTTTTGGGAAATTTAAGCTGATTGTGTAGGTGATCTGTTAGACCTAATGCATTATTTTAAAATGCAAACTTAATATTCAAGTTATGTCACAATTCATACATTGCAAAGATGTTTTATATCTTTGAGAAATCAAAATTCTGAAAAAAAAATGTTAATTTATAAATGTTTAATAAATATTAAAACTGTCATAGTTGATTGTGTTTAATCGACATTGCCCTTTAAAACTATTATTTATATCTGTTACAGGTTCTATGCTGCTGAAATTATTTGTGGTCTCCAGTTCCTTCATTCTAAAGGCATCATATACAGGTAAAATAAGAGATACACCAGGCGTGTTTTCATTAGAAAGTAAATTGAACACAGCATACAATGATAGCTGCTTTAAATGATCGGAGATTCTGACTTGAGCAGAAAAGGCCAGTGTACCATCATGAATTCATTAATATATTTGAATTACAAACGTCCCTGACTGCTCGTGGCTATGGGACCTTAAATAATGAGAAATTGCATTGTAACTTGAATGGAAAAGACTAGGGTATGCTTATGAATTATTCCATTAATATATTGTAATGCCAAGTATTCCTGATCGCTAGTGTTTAAGGGACCTTGAATGATCAGAGATTGGATTCTAACATAAAGGGAAAAGGCCAGTATACCCTCATGAATTCAATTCATTGATATAATTTTGATAACAAATTTTCCTCATTTGTGTTTAAGAGACCTGAAGTTGGATAACGTACTACTAGATAAAGATGGACACATAAAAATAGCAGACTTTGGAATGTGTAAGGAGAACATGTTTGAGGATGCCAGGACCTGTACTTTCTGCGGAACCCCTGACTATATTGCCCCTGAGGTGAGCATAATATTAAACATTATATCTAGTAAAATAATGCATCTGATTAGATAAAATGCACATGATTTAAAATCACCTCTACAAAAATATTTTTAAAAATTACTGTAGCCACAATCCAACTGACTTTCCTCTAAAATAATGTACAGTAGTATTCAGCTGCTACAAATGATAATAATAATAATAATATGATATATATATAGGCAGCAAAGTGGCACAGTGGTTAGCATTGCTGCCACACAGCTCTGGGGTCCTGGCTTCAATTCCTGCAGTGTCATCTGTGTGGAGTTTGTATATTCTCCCTGTGTTTGTGTGGATTTCCTCCAGGTGCTCCAATTTCTTCCCACAGTCCAAGGACATACAAGTAGATTTATTGGATTTGTGGAAAATTGGCCCTGGTGTGACCTGTAAAGGACTGATGTCCCAACCAGGATGTATTCTGCCTTGCATCTGTTGCTTGCTGGGATACGTGCCAGCATCCCCAGTGACCCTGTTTTGGATAAAGCAGTTGGAAAATGGACGTATGGGTGATATGTATGCCTGAACGAAAGCACATGTCACAGTGTGTGTTTTATTCTGTAGATTTTGCTTGGTCAGAAATATGGAAATTCAGTTGATTGGTGGTCTTTTGGAGTCCTGCTGTATGAGATGCTCATCGGTCAGTCCCCTTTTCATGGCAACGATGAAGAAGAGCTCTTCCAGTCAATCCGTACTGATGACCCCTTCTATCCAAGATGGCTCCCAAAAGACGCTAAAGAGATTCTTGTCAAGGTAAGAGCAACAGAATTTAGGGGATATATAAATCTTACCCTTTTTAATTGTACTTTTTTGTCTGTTGTCTGAAAAGATGAAGTGGATTAGAGATGTCTAGCCATACTGATTGAATCTGTTCATGATTGTTATAATTATAACACTTAAAATGAAAAAATAGTTGTGTTCTTCCATTCGTTTAATTTCAAACTGTTTGTACTACTATTAATCAATGACTATATAAATATAAATTATCAATATTTAGTTTGAATGGTTCTAACACTTTCATATGTGAACATCCATACAGTATATTAGTGTTACCTGTCACTAATCTGCTCTTTAATCACTATCCCTTGAATTAATCAAGTCGTCTCTTAACACCGACACCGAAAAGCTTTTGGGTATAGAAGTGCCACCTCTCTACAGTGACACAATCTGAAAGGTTTTAATCCAATAACAGTTTATGATACGATGTTTCTTAATATTTGGAATTGTCCATTCATTTTTCAATTATCTACTCATTTGGAATCTCCATATGACAATCAAATTGTTGTATCTAAACAATGTCTGTGATGAATAGGGACAAACAGGATGTTTTAGCTACTTGCAGTCAGAATGGTGTTTCTCATTTGCACATTGTGATCAAGCATCACTGAAAGTGTGATTTCTCATGAGAATTACCATTCTCATATACACAGACAGACCTGTTGCAGAAAGGTAGATTAGCTAATAATAAATAAATAAGCATTACATCTGTATAAGATATTAATAATTTATTTTGCTTCATTCATTTACATTCTCTGTTACTTCCCTATTTTTGGTTCAGAAAGAAGAAGTTAAGGTTACCGACTGGCAGCTCATAAAAAGTGTTTGTTCAGACACAGATAAAGTATATTTAAAAAGCTCTGTATTCTGTGAAACACCCAGGTGAATTTTCATTAATGAACTCTACAGTTATGGAAGATAGTTTACCAAACAGTCTTGAACGATAGTTTATTCTCTTGCACCGAGAATTCTCAAACATTTAACAATAAGATATAATAGAATAAGTATCAAAATGTACGACTATATTTTTGACTTACCTCTAAATGTATTTAAAATGTATATTTTTGGATAAGTTAAATATACACATTTTGGATATTGTTTAATGTTTTGGCCTTCATTTTGATCAATTAATCATTCCTCACTGTGATACACTAGAGTGATTTTGAATAACTATGAAGAAATTAAAATGTAAAACAAATCAGAGGGAAAAGATTGATATGGAATCAAGAGAGAATGAAGGACAATATTCACACAGTACTGATATAGTACCCTTGAGTGGAAAATGTAGCACTCATTAATAAAAACTTAACCTATAAATTAAGCACCATTATCAAATTAAGAATTTATAATAATCACAACTTTTGATAATATTGCTTTTAACAGATGAATTCTCAAAAGGCAGGTGACAGGCATTTAAGAAAATTCATGTATTTTAATTAATAAAATCTCAAAGGACAAGAAACACAGAGCACAGATAAGGGGTGAATGCACAAACTAAGGTAAAATAATTAGTGGAAAACCATGGGGATAGGACAGTTGATCTTCCTGATTTATATTAATGATATAGATTTTGGCATAGTGATTAAACTAGTCAAATTTGCAGATGATACCAAATTAGGAGGATTAGCAAACACTGTATAATCTGCAAAGATGGTATTTATAATGTAGATGAGTATAGAGTAATGCATGGAAGTAGCAAAAATATAAATGACCGATCTCAAATGGGAAATACTGAGCTTGAAGTAACAATTTAAGAAAAAAAAAAACTAGGTGTTTTTGTTCACACATTTATTTTCCATCTTATAGAAAATATAAGTAAACATTAAATAAGGCAAAAAGAATGTACAGAGATATAGTTGAAAGCACAGAGATGCCATGTTACAAATACCCACAGATCAGTCCAAGGAACAGAAACCAAGTTCATTTCTGGTAAAATGAAAGTCCAACTCTGAAAGGTTAGAAGAACTGAATATTTTTAATCTCAAACAAGGAAGACTAAAAAGTATTAAAATTCCCCAAAGGCGATAACACACTTCTGAATTAACAACAGGAAACAAATGTAATCAAGCACTAAATCACCTGATTAGTGACAGAGTGCTTAGGTACAAGTGATAAAATGATTTAACCTGTTGAATCATGCCCTGTCAAAATTAAGAAAGAAAAACACAGAAACCAACTGATATTCACCACTTATCATGTCAACACCTTCATTCTGTTGGTATGTTGATGGCCAAACTAAATGAGTTCTGATAGATTTCGAGAGCTTTGGAGTAAACTCCTCTTTGTTAAAGAACTGAGGCTTTGCATAGACCGGTGGTTCTCAAACTGTGGTACGCGTACCAGTTGTGGTACATGGAGTGCCGCCAGGTGATATGCCATATGTCCCTGGAACTTTGTTGTGTGCACTGAAAAATTGGGATTTAATATTTTCTAATTTAATAAAATTAGTTTGTATCGAATACGCAGCCGATGTACTACAATACAGTGCGCGCTAATACTTGAGTGGACACAAGAGCTACAGTGTAATTCTATACCATTTTATAGGAATACATGGTACGAACGCAAGTGACCAATTGTATTTAAAAAAAGTTATCTCCAGCAAATAGGGAGGTAGAGAATGTGTGTGATTTTGGACAATGCCAATGTTGTAAGCACAGGAAAGCATAGAAATGCGTACTACGAACACTGGCAATCTGAGCACAGGAAAGCGTGATAATAGAAAAATATTTAAGAACTGTTCTAGGTTCATTTGAGAAAAATAAACCGAGGGATTCTATGTTTCGCTCCCATGCGCATGAAATATAAACTTCTTTTAACTTCTGAGACAAACCCCTGAAATGGAAACGGGGAAAAACGCAAGCTTGCGGAATGCTAAAGCAGGTAAGGCCCATACTATTTGTGAAGTAACTTTGTTTACCATTGGCAAAAGAGCTGACACGTATTATGTGTGGAGAAAAAGCTGCTGAAATGAAGCTGTTGAAATGGTGCTTTTTTATTGTTTATTTTTAATTGTTGTTGTTGTTCCTTTTGTCATTCTGTAAACTGCTTTGAGAAACCACCTTTAAAGGCACTATATCAAATAAAGTTTATTATAATATTTATTATATGTGTATGTGAGTGTGTGCGCGCACGCGTGTTCATGTTGGTCATTATGATTTTCTGGGGTTCCTATGAGAAGATGACTTGTAGGTGGTACTTGGATGCTTTGGTTTGATCAGGGGTGGTACTTGGTCCAAAAAGTTTGAGAACTTTGGCATAGACCACCCTGATCGATGTCTGCCAGTGTGAAGCAGATTTGCTAATTGTTCTAGAGAACAGACCAAGCAATGGCAAGATCAGCAGTTACTGTATATTTTTATCAGTAGTAAATGTTGAAAATGTAACGTGCCAAGCCTGTCAGATTTTACATTTGGCATGCAAGCACTGCTGCACAAATTCTTGTGTGGATTTTAACAAAGAATTCCTTGCATGTAGTCTATTATGAGGTTTGGATAAATAAGAATAGTGTGATTTATAAAAATAAGCGCAAATATGTAAAGCAAGGAGAGCTATGATCATGCAGTAACCCTGAGGTGCTGGATTTATGTGATTGCAGTTATTCGTGAGAGAGCCGGAGCGTAGACTGGGAGTGAAAGGAAATATCCGCCAGCACGTTTTCTTCAGAGACATCAACTGGACGGTGCTGGAGAACAGAGAGGTCGAGCCACCCTTCAAACCCACTGTGGTAAGAGTCCTCACTTCCAGGAGATTAAAAGAAAAGAGTGGGAAAGAGACTCTTCAACTTCTGTGTCATGTCAGTGTTAGTGAAATTAAAGAAGACTGTTGCATTTTAAATGTGCATATGCTTCTTAGATGATTAAGGTTTAATGGCAAAGAGTATAATACTAACTCAATTTATACAGTTATAAATCTACGGTTTGGTAAGTTTTAAAATCATTATTTTTAAGGAATGACAACAGTTTCTCAATCAACTCTTGACGCATCTGTTTGTGTTCTTGTCAACTGCTTTTCACTGGTTTTCCAGCTTGATCATAGAAGACACTAGAATAAAATAGAAAAACGTTTGAAAGAGTTTGAAATCAAGCTTTTAATTTTCCTAAACTTTAGATGCATCTTAAATCACTTCACAATTATGTCTCCTTTTAAAATCCAATGATCTTGATAATGAGATAATGAGAAAGCACAGCTTGTGAAATAAAACCAGATGGCTAATAGCAACAGATTACGCTCCATAATGTGTTTTCTGTTCTGATGTTTGTCTTTCATGAGATACAAATATTTTAAACATCAGGAAAATTTCTGTACAAAAAGTTCTGTTTTTTTTTTAAGCTGTCTGCGACATTTAGCAAGGTAAGGTCATAACCTGCTCAGCAGGACACAGCCAGGGATCTTTCTTCTGAAAGAATGGATAAATCAAAGCTGTTCTTATTCCATTTAAAGTTGGTTCTGTGAAGTGCTCATGTCCCAGCAGGGTGATCTGCTTATAGAATTGAAGGTCACCTAAATAATCACTCTCCATGTCACCTGGGAAGAAACGTTTGTTAGTGCAGGATGATTTGTCCATTTTTAAAAAATGAATTCAAAAGAAGGCCCTAAGTTTTCTCCCCATGGTGCTTTATTGTGGTCTGATAAGTACAAATCTGGGGCTTTGGTTATGCTTCCACCCTGAGGTACTACTGCCATCAATGGCTAGGAGTTGTTCTCAATAGATCTCTTTTTGTGAAGCTCAAGAAAGGAGTGTTCGTGATTCTTGCTGAAGGAAATAAAATATTATCTAGTGAGGAAAGTGTAACCTGTTTACATATGGTCTGAATTTGGATGGAAATGATTAAGTGAACTAGGCTGTTCGGCAGCTGTAACTGAAATTTACTTGATGATTAGTCATATTTTCTATTTTTTTAGAAACCTTAGCACCACTCCTGAGTCTAAACCAATAGTTCTGCCATCTATGCATATTCCTTTTCTTGTGCTTTGATCTTCACATACATCAGAACATTGTGGTGAATATGTATGCAAATGTAACTGAATGTGGATTTTTTTTTTGTTTTCAGAAATCTCCAAATGACTGCAGCAATTTTGATAAGGAGTTCTTAAATGAGAAACCGAGACTCTCTTGTGCTGACAGGGCCCTCATCAACAGTGTGGACCAAACTATGTTCAACAATTTCTCCTTTGTTAACCCCAAAATGGACAGGCTTAATAAGCCTGTGGAAATTGTTCACTGACACGTTGAATGTGTTATGAATGCAATTCATTATATTCCATTTACAGGAGTTCAGTGTGTTATTTGTGACTTCCTTAATCAGAAGCAACTGTTAATTGCTAACCTCGGTCTGTGAAATCTTACTAATATGATTCATATGATTTTTGTTTCTTGAATAATGGTCACAGAAAATAATTTATTAACGAGGATGTGTTATGTCTTTAGATATATTTAATGTAATTTGTGTAATTTTTGCTTTGTTAGTGTTTATAAACTGGCAACATGGTTGCATTTTGCATGAAGATTATTGTGTACTGTGTAATTGTGCCTTGTTCAGTTTGTCACTTGCTCGGTCAGATTCTTATAATGGCAAACAAACTGACAAATATAAAGAGACTGTGCTTAGTACTTTGACTTTAGCTCGCTTACCCAAGGAAATGACAGTGCTGATCGGAGATCGACATTGTCCCGACCCCCCCAGAAGATTCCCAAAAACACAGATGCAGATTTCGAACACTGAGCCAAGATCAAGTCTTAGCAGTGTCACCTGAACCAAGCAGAAGGTGCATGTAACAAATGAAAAACAATTAGAAGCCAGGCTGGCACTCATTTGAACTAGAGGATTCGGATATGTGGTGTGTAAGAAGCACGTATGCAGCAGGCGACAAAATGCAAGTCAGCCAGCAGGTGGCTTCACTGGCAGCTAGCAACAGCAGCATGCGTGGCAAGTTCGATTCGGAACTCAGTGGTGGGCAGTGGAAGATGTTGCAGCAAGCGGGGGGAGTAGTTCAGCACAAAAACAGGATCTTGCTGAGTTTCTACAGAAGATAAGAACGTTTCAGAAGCTGAAGTCACGAAAAGAGAAGGAATAACAGTATAGTGTGGATTTGGGAGGGGGAAGGGCTGACTCTAACCATTTTGATGCCAGCCAAAAGAGGGGGGGGAGGGGGATTGGGGGATCCCACTGCTGTAGCTGCATTGGCCTGGGCACCAGGAATAGTGTGGGGATGATGAACGACAAAGCCCGTATACGGTGCAGACCGACGCCACGTGCTCACTCCCGAGGTAAAGAGTAGGAACCAGCAACCACAGGCTCCCGCGGTAGACAGTGAATAGAAGGGTGAGTGAGTGGGTAAAGAGATGGAAACGAGATGTAGACTGGATCCGTAGGTACGATGGGCTGGACGCTCAGCCAGAAATGGAGAGAGAAGGGGAAAGGAAAGAGCGTGCGAGATTGGGAAGAGGGAATGGGCAGGGGAACAAAACCGATGCGGTTGCTCGCAGTTTCTGGAAGGCTTGCTGACGTTAAGAGACCTGAAAGAAAAAACACAATGAAGGTAAGATACCAGCAGCCCTGAGTGTGAAAGACGTTCTTGTGCGGAAGAGAAAGACTAGAATTTGACCTCCTCCTGAACTCTGTTCAAGAACACCATTAATTACAAACTTGTGCTCAGGGTAGCTTTGAACAGTGGCGTTAAATTCAACCAAAGAAATGAATGTTTACAAATCAACCCTTATACAAATAACTACTGTATACGTGATTTATAGGTTTCTACTGAAATGCTCCAATCTATAAATTTAGGACATTTCGATATAAATATTTTTTCTAGGGGATGTTTGGAATATACCTCATTGTAGCATAGAAGGTTCCTTGAATAATGCTGTTTGGATAATCCTACTGAAAAGCAAAGGAGCACTCATGGGAAATGTTCTGCAACATGGACACTGTAAAGGAACAAATGGAATATTAATCTACATTATTAAAGAGCAATCCAAATATATTTTGAACACTGTGTAAATATTATCACAATCTGTCCATAGCTGTGTTGCTATATTGGTCCATACTCGCATGTTCTGAAAGTAGTAGGTATACCATATGAACACTTACTCAAATGTATTAATCTTTATTTAGATTATTGTATTCTAAAGATTATTTTTAATAAAAGCATGTTCTTTTGTATAAAAGTGTTACATATAGTTTAGTTGTGAAAATATTACTAGATGATGCAAAATCACCTCCTTGTGTACACATACTGTCAGTGTTACATTCAAACAGATAATGAACACCTAATGCCAGGCAATTGACACACCCCTTCAGTACTGTGATATATAGTTACTGAAGAGAAGAGCGTGGACACAGGCTGGGTTTTATTGATTACAACTTTTTAAGGTTTCAAAGTAAAATCAATTGTGTTTTTGTGGTAAATGTTGCCCTACTATAAGAGGTAGAAGAAAGCATGAACATTAAATATCATTGTATTCACTGTTGTTATTTTGTAATGTTGTAATGTAGTATTTTGTAATGTTTTGCAGTGTTAGATATTACCATGCATATCTGTGATTAAGTTGGTATTTTCTGTGAAATGTAAAAGAACATATTTAAGCTTTATTATTCATGTTAAATGTGTTATCCTGTTTAGGTGTTTATTGCTTGATCTGTTGTTTTCCAGTCCAGGTCTTTATCAGGATTTTAAATACCCACTGGAGAATATGCATGAAACTCTCTATTAGCATTTATTTCTCTGTATATGAAACAGTATTTTATAAATATGTCCTGCTAGCAACTTGCATAAATTCAGCTATAAATGAGAAAAGTAATTAAAGATGCTGTTGAGTGCTGAGATCACTCTTCTTCAAACAAGTAGAGGTGTTAACCTCAGTGCCTTGGCTAAATTCCACCTCAAAACAATTTCTTTTTTGCTGGTGCACACTTTGTGCTGTGCATCACCGAGGTAGGTACTGCATTTCAGCATTGAATGAAGCAGAATCTCCTTCCATATGTAAAGTGCTTTGACATCCTCAAGAATGAAAACCTCTGTAAGTCACATTTAATTCTAATTATTAATACTAGCATTACTAGCTATTTCTAAGGCCACACTTCTTCTCCTGCACATTCATTTTCTTTGCCAGCTCGACTTCAAGGCCTTTTTGTTGAACAACTAAATTTGTCTCTTATGAATGCAGACTGGGTGGCATGGTGATACAGTGGTTAGCATTGCTGTCTCTCCTGCTGGGGCCCTGGGTCCGGTTGTGAACATGGAGTGCTATCTCCTCCCATAGTCCAAAAACATGCTAGTACTGTATGTCAACTGGCTTCTGGAAACACTGACCCTAGTGTGAGTCTGTGTGTCTGCCCTGCACTAGACCGTTTTATAAGTAGTTACAGTACCTTGTTCTGTTAATACTAGCAGCTCAGACGTCAGTGAAAAGAGTTTGAAACATGGTGAAATAGGTTGGTTACTTGTTGTGTCTTGCTTGCCCTAACCTTCACTTGGCCTGATATCCTCTTTTACATCCTCACTACCTCAGTAATCAGTCCATGGGCTGTTTTAAGGGTAAAGTTGTCATCCCATAACCACGAACTTTGCCCTGTTGAGGCCGTTGCCTTTTTCTAAAGCTGCAGTAGTACTTCAAATATTTATTGGTTAATATAGGACAGTAGCAGTGTGGGAGGAGAATTGAATATCTGTTGCCATGACCTTTCGTATAGATTGCAACCCTGACTTAAAGAAAGGTATATTTCCGTTTTATTGTTCATCTATTTTTCTTATACGTATTGATTCCCATGTCCTGATCAAGACGATGTGTGGAAATGAGAAAAAGTGCACACAGAATGCTTGGGTATGCGGTAAAAAGTGAAAAAAAAATCAACAGAAGGAAGTTACGATCAAGCCTTAAAAAGTGATAGGCCTCATTTAGAATATTTGGCTGAGTTTTGGTCACCATACCATAAATCAGAGACAGCCTTTAAGAAAGTTTTAAAAAGGCAACAAGAAATATTATCTGCGCATCTACAGTAGATACTCCCTGTGGATTGCCATATATGGATGGATTAAAGGAATTAAACAAATGAGACTTAGAGAAGATTTGGTCCATTTATTATATGAAAAGAGGTGGATATAGGGTCTGCTCAGATACTATTTCACACTAAAGGATGAAACAAGAATGGGGCATTAAAAGTGGAAAATACAAGGGAACTCATTTAGGAGTAAGAACATGAAACAGTTCTTTACGCAAAGAGTGTGAGGGTTGTGGCAGTCTGGAACAGGCTTTGTGCTCCCTTAAGAACTAACTGGAAAAAAATTTAGATTCTCTTAGGATAAAAGACCTCCCCTCACTTGCAGTCTTTCTTACTTTCATATATATACGCTTGCTGTGGTAATGCCACATTTTCAAAAGAGTGTATACCTCAGCGTAGTGTACACAAGTATCATAACCTCATGAGCATATTCAGTTATTGTGAAGTGTATTTGGTTTGATTTCTTTTGGCTTGGCCAGAGTTCATTTGTTATTTTAGACAAAATGCTGCAAAAAATACACAGTCTCGAAGAGTGCCTCATTTCTTGACAGTTTTTTTTTATTTCGTTTATCTGGGCATAAATTCTTTGTGGTGTTCAGGCTGTGACATCAGAAGCGGGAGGCATTTTTCCTGTGGTAAACCCGTTATCTCACACAGAGAGGAGTGACAGGAGTTGACTTACAAGAGCTCATGTATAACTCTCTGTAGCGTAATTTTTCAGTTTAAAAGTGATTCCTGCAGACATTACACTTACACCCAGACACTCATACCTACACAACTATGTGCAATGCTGTGCACATTAATACGAAAAACGTCAAGGTTATTGTTATATTTTATAGCTAAAGGCAGGTGAATAGCTTTTTTGCTTCAGGTCTTGCAAGTTTAGCTCTTAAAATTAATACAGTTTTTAAAAGGTAGGTTCAATTTAAGATATGCAACATCTGTGTTACACTTAGACGCATACACTTAGCTGTATTACATGTAGTATTGACTTAATTATCTCCAAACAATAAACGTTTGAATAAATTATCTTTGAAAACATTTGTCTGTTAAACAGTTTTTGGAACTTCATCTCATGTTCCCACAACTCAGGCACGTTTTGAAGAATGACATTAGCTATATCTCTCCAGTAACCTTTTAAATGTATTTAATAAAGATGTATCATAGTACTGTACGTGTTCAGAACAGCACTGCCCCCAAGTGGTGACATACAGAATAAAATGTTTTTTGTTTTTAATTCCTTCACCTTCAATGCATTCCTTCTCGCCTAAAATCTGAGAAAATAAGAACATTTTTAAACACTTCATCCAATTCAGGGTCATGGGGAATCTTGAACTGATCCTGGTAAGCAATGGGCATGACATGGGGTATACTCCGCATTAGACTTCAGTCCACCATAGGGCACACACACAGACATTAACACAGACTCACACAAGAGTCAGTTTTTCCAGAAGCCAAAGAACCTACTAGGTATGTTTTTGGACTGTGGGGGGAAACCAGAGCACCTGGAGGAAACCCATGTGAACACAAGGAGAACATTCAAACTCCACACAGATTGGTCTAGAATTGAAACCAGGGCCCAGGCACTGTGAGTCTGCAATGCTAACCACTGTGCCACTGTGTCACCCCTAAATATAAACCTCTGAAATGTAAAGAAAAAATATCTAAAAACATGAGTTGCTAGTAGCTAATTGATCGGCAGATCTCATCTAGCTGCCATTCCTTCAAAAAAGAGAGTATTTCAATGTCCACAACATGGGTGGGTAGCTTGTTCTACCTATCCCCAAAATTCTGTCTGAAAAAGTGCCTCTCAGAGAGTAAAGCCAGCGTAATTAAATGTAGTGTGCAAAGAGAAACAATGAATCCCTTTGATTAGTACTTTTTAGTTGATCATTTTTTTGTCCCGAATTCTTATTTTAACTTTAATCTCAGCGGCATGAAATATCAATGTCTAAAAAATAAACGGTACACAAAGTGATTCTAAATCTCAGTTTATTCACTGTGTGTTAACCTATGATTTAAACTGAATTTTTATTTAGTCCTATAAGAAATGGGAAAAAAATATTATTTTCTTTCTCATCAGTGAAATAGCAAGAAAATTGACTTTGATGTTTTTTTTCCCCCTACTGAGAACTTTGGTTAATATATTTAACATTTTCACTTAGTAAACAGAGTTCTGTCACTCTACGGATATTCCATTCTGAAAAACAATTTACTACAAATGCAGAGTTTCCTGTCTTTATCATAAAACCTGACCTCCGTGTGGCAGTGATTAGGGCTACACTAGTACCATTACGTTTCTTTCGGTAGAATTAAACCCTGACTTTCTCAATGAAGTGCCTCTCAGAGCCCAAGGAGCAACTGTCCTAATCTCACAACCTCGTTAAATAGATCTTAGACTGCGACTGACCTGAATGAGAAAGTCAGTTGTCTAAAGATGACCAAGGTTAAGATGACATCACCTATATCTGTCTTCTCGACTTACCTTGGGCTGCCAAGGAGATTAGAAGACACGGTTTGAACTGAAGTCATTCTCTGTCACAATTAATCGGATTTCAAACAGAAACGCTGCTCTGTGATCATTCCTTCTGGAGGCTTAAATGTTCCTCACCTTGTGAATGGTGCACAAGGCGCAAGCTAAAACGATTAGAAGTGTTTTATATAGAGGTCTAAATGAGCTTTAGAACGGAGGCAATGATTAAGCCATTTGTTCTAGTCATTGGTATCGGCATTTACACATTTCGTCCGCAAGAGGGAGATGTTTTCTAGCAAATAATGGGCAGAATTTAAGGTTAACCGGTATCTGAAGCTCACCTATTGTTCCGAGGGTTATAATTGCATTTCTACACCCACCAATTGTTTTCTTTGTTGTGGGATGAAAAGACTGAATTTGAGCCTTCAAAAGATCCTATTTCTTTTCCATACCTTTTCTCATGCAAAGCTTTAAGTCCCACAGTCATTTCTAGTTTCCATTGGCTTGCATTATTAACGATGCTATTCTGTTGTTTAAAGATTCCCCCCTGGGAAAACAGGGAAAAGTGGTTGAGAGACAATCCGTACTCTTTGGACAAGTAACTGCTATGTTTTTGTTTTCATTACTTAAAATCAAATTAATTCAACCAGTACCCGGTTCATGCAGTTAACCTTACACACACTGTTAAACAGTGAAAGACTGCTCAGGAACATGTTTTCTGTGAGATACAATAATTTGCCATACCACCCAAGATATTTACATCTTGTTTGGTGATGGTTCCCAGCCATGGTTAAAAGGAAACACTATCTGCAGGTGTTTGTTCCTGCTGACCTCTAAAGCTACACTTCTAATTGATGGCTTTATGATGAAAGGGGGGAAATGTCAATGTATGAAAAACTCTCAAAATGAGTGTTTTTATTTTCTCCTAAAGATGCCCAGCCGGTTACATTTCAAGCCACAAGCCTGAAAGAGCGTAGTTCTTAATCCCAGAAATTTGATACAAGGTTGATATTTAAGGTCAAATCCCAGTTGACCTTTTCCGAGCTGCAAGCAAATTTCCAGACCTGATCCATATAGAAATTTGGAATCAATATGCCAGTGATTAAGAACTCGGCTGAAGCAAAAAACAAAATACAGTGATGCCCGAGGACCAGGGCTGTTAATCAATCTCTACTAGAATGTCATCTTTGGTTCTGTGTGCACAGAATCTCAGGATTCTTATTTTGGGTATATTAAGCTTTAAGGGGGCAATCAAAACATTTTAATTAATTTTAACTGCGCTCATTTCACTTCTGTTGAGTAATAAATATGAATTTGCACCAGAAGTGAAACAAGTGCAGAGTCATTAGAATATACTGTAAGTGAACACAAGAAAGGTAACAAGGGGGATATTTTTTTTGGTCATCAATTATTGATCTAATGCTCTCTTCAGCCTTTTTACTAAGAGTCTTAGCTAGAATACTAATCTGGGAATAACTCCTACTGAAGACAGCAATTTGACCAATTCATAGATTGATAGACATTTGACGTGCTACAGCAGACATCGCACATGTAATGCAGAAATAGAAAAGAGTAAGGGCTTTAGAGCTCTACAAGGATAACTGCCTTGAGCACTGTGCTAGACTTTCGATGTGTTTGTTTATTCTATCATTAATTTTTCCGAACCTCCAAAGGAATAATCAATTCAATAAAAACAGTACATAAATTATACACCTGTAAGGAATAACCCTTTGAAAAATGTTTTCCTTATGTCTATTAAAAGCTCCTGAAAGTTTTTTCAGTCATAAAAGCTGGTCAAAATCAGACATTCATATTCCAAACTTTTGAATACGACCTACAGATACCTACAGTAAGAACACAACAGTTCTCTTAATCAGCCTCCCAATACATCACTACCTACATGATGCAGTCTGATTTTTCCCAGATTGGCCAGGTGCCCAATACTACTACAAGATAAGCAGGATGTCCCACCTACACAGTCACAAGATTACAGATATGATGCAACATCTAGCAAAAAAATTTCCAACTACAATTCAGTCCATAAGTATTTGGACAGTGAAACACTTTTTGCTGTTTTGGCTCTGTACTCCAGCACATTGGATTTGAAATAAAACGATGACTATGAGGTTAAAGTGCAAAATGTCAGCTTTAATTAGAGGGTATTTACATCTATGTTGGGTGAACCACATAGGAATCACAGCCCTTTTTATACATAGTCCCCTCATTTCATGGGACCAAAAGTAATTGGACACATTAACATAATCTTAAATAAAATTTGGCATGTTTGCAGATGCTTTGCAATTGATGACGACCTGAAGTCTGCGACCTATAGACATCACCAGACATTGAGTATCTTTCCTGGTGATGCTCTGTCAGGCCTGAAATTCAGCCATTTTCAGTTCCTGTTTGTTTCAGGGGCTTTTTGCTTTCGGTCTTGTCTTCAGTAAGTGTGCTCAGGTGATTGACTTGGCCAGTCAAAAACATTCCACTTTTTGTTTTGGCCCTAAAAAACTCCATATTTGCTTTAGCAATATGTTTGGGGTCATTGTCCTGCTGCAAAGTAAAGTGCCATCCAATGAGTTTTGAAGCATTTGGTTGGATCTGAGCAGATAAGTTGCTTCTGTACACTTCAGAATTCATCCTGCTGCCGTCTCCAGTCAGATCATCAATAAAGACAAGTGGGCCAGTTCCACTGGCAGCCACACACGCCCAAGCCATGACACTACCTCCACCATGTTCCACAGATGAGGTGGTATGCTTTGGGTCATGAGCTTAATCTCATCTGTCCATAAGGCTTTGTCCCAGAACTCTAGAGGCTTTTTAATGTACTTTTTAGCTAACTGTAACCTGGCCTTTCCATGGCCTTTCTTACCAGTGGTTTGCATCTTGTGGTGAAACCCTCTGAGATTATGCTGGTGTATTCTTCTCTTTATGACAGTCTTTGACACATCTTTTCCTACATCCAACAGGTAAAATGTCTGCTGCTGTGTGTCAGCCCTTCATGTCTACCGTAGAAATCATAAAGCACTTCCTGGAGCATAGCAAAGATGAATTTCTTACCTCTTCTATTGAATTTCTACCACAGCACTGCAAGGCAGCAATGCTAACCACTGTGCTACCAAAGTCTTAATGTTGTTAATATTAATTTTTGCTCCTTTACTTTAAATACAGCTGTACTGAAAGATGGTAGCACTTCCTGTCACAAACAACAACTCCAAGATAGAGCACATTTTGCAATACAGTTAACAAGACTCATTGTAGAACTGTTGGGTATCCCATGCATGTTGCTATCATTCTATTTCTCTGTTGGGTGGTTCCTTTCTGGTAAGTACAGGTAAAATGCATTGCTTTTTTCTGGACAGGAACAGAGACATCTTTGTATTAAGGCAATAGCCATGATGAAATTTCCTTGCAACTCTAAACCTTGAGAATTACTCTGGAGTTCACTTTGTACTCTGCTGCAATACAAAAGTATTTCAGGACATAGGTATATTGTCAAGCTTTACCATTTTAGAAACTAAAGTTACATATATTAACATTTGAAAGGGCATAAAATACTCTTCATTACATTACTCAGTTAATACATCTAAAACAGCAGAGCAGAATATGAAAGACAACTAGTGAGGTCTGAGCACATGAAAACTCACAATGGAAGGGAAAAAAAGCTGCACAAAGAGTCATTTATTCTTTAAGCAAGCACATCTTCTGGTATAATCTTTTGTTCTTCACCAGCATCAACACCAGCTAACACTGTACTTACCCTCTATATGCCAAGAAACCTTTATTCGACCCATGTGAGAGAGTATTCACCAACTCTTCATCAATTCGTTTCTTATTTAACTAATAATTGTCATATCCACTTCAGGTGTGATTATTTACTACTATTAGAGGCTTTAACAGCTTCTAGTGGCAAGTCAGCAGCACCTACAGTCCTAACTACAGTTGGCCTGCCCGCAGTATTGAATCAACAATTCTCTCAATGGGATTCAACGATCCCCAAAGGCAGACGCAAACAATGTATTTTTAGGCACTGTCGCATTGGATTTCGAGAGGTCGCTCAGAGAATACGAGAAAGAGGAAAGCAAAAGAAGAAAATATTTTATCATTGAGGCATTAACTTGGGGCAGGGTTGTCTGAGGACACTGCCCAGGAACTCCCGTGAAATCATGTACACCTAAAGAGACATGTTCTCTTTGAAAATGAGAAAAACTTAAAACATAATTGTCAAGAATGTGGAACCTAAAGGTTCAGTTGGAAAAAACGACACCCTTCATTTGCCTGGGGTCTTGTGTTTCTTATGGCGCTGTTAGCAAATCGTTTGAAAAAGAATCAAAATATTAAAACCTATAATCCCCATCAATGAAGAGTCACATTAAATTAATCCACTTGTCAGTCTGAAGCGGAAGGCAGGCTAGAGGCTGATCCTCTTCTGGTGTTTATTATTCGACCACGTGACTCTTGAGAAGCGGAAACAGCGACAGTGTGACTGTGCTGGGAAGTGCACCGTGTCCTCACTTCACCTTTCTAATTTTAACTCTGAATTTCCTGCTCAGGCCGCAGCGGTCCGAAGCTCTGAAACATGTTAGCCGAAGTGCAGGTCTGACGGAGAAAACCTTCTTGGCGTCAGTCCAGTGTTTAGTTTGAAAAATATGCGACAATAAAATTGTATACTTATATATCATACTATATCGTGCATATGTGATACTTCCATTTTTATGTAATGCATTTTTAAACCAAAGAGTATTTTCTTAGTTTGTTTTCATGTTTATGCAATGCATAAACTAAAGGGTATTTTCTTAGGGTTTTTTTTTTGTTTTGAATACGATTTGAATGTTGCTACATTGTTGTCAACAGCACACCTGTCAGCACCTCGTTGTTTTATTTCAATATAATGCACATCTGTTTACTTCCTAAATAGATCATTACAACCCTAGACTTTTATGTTAGCGATATTAACTAAGATAAATCAGTGCATAATTTATTCATAAGGTTTTACAAAAATGTATTTGATTTAATGAGGGGTTTTGACGGCGTCTGGGTTTTGCAACAATTATAACAAAGAGCACTTAAGTGTTGTTGTTTTTACAGTCATTAACTTTATTGTGTCAGATCTGCATCACAAAACCACAAGAGACTACTTAGCACAGTCTGTGATTGTTCCCAGCACATTAACCGCATTCATTAATATGAATATTCAGTCTGTTAGATAATGAATGAATACTATTAATAAAATGTATTTTATTACTATTAATCAAAAGCCATTTAGTGTTGCCAAGTTTTCATCAACTCTGTTTCCTGGAGAAGTCTGGATTTGATGTCAGAATTGATTCACACCGAAAACACAAAATAATCGTAATGTTCCTTTGTTTTAGATGCTTACTGAAATGTTTACATAGACTTCTTTTTAGGCATAGCTTTTAGAATCTACATCTCGTATGATTCTGACAATTTTGCCATATGGCACTTTGCCATCACTGGGGACACACAGATACAAACACACACACTCACACCAGGGCCAATTATAGTTCAGTTTATTTGTCATATGCACAAGTGCAATGAAGAGCTCATTTGCATGCATTCTCCACTTCGAAGACATTAAAGAAAGACCAACTTAAACACACAACAACAGTGATAACAACAAAGCTAAGCACTCAATTTAAATAAAACTCAGCACTAGCTGGTATCCAATAACCAGAGGTTATTAACCATCTCTACAGCCACCCCATTGATGTGAACAGGGGAGTGGTCCCAACCCCACTTTCTGAAATCGATGACCAGCTCTTCAGTTTCGCTGACACTGAGAGAGAGATTATTGTCCAATCACCACTCCACCAGGTTCTTGACCTCATCCCTCTAGGCCGTCTGATCGTTACTGGTGATTCAGCCAGTGATGACAGTATCGTCAGCATACTTATGGATGCATTTGGAACTGTGTCTTGCCACACAATTGTGGGTAAATAAGGAAAACAGCAGGAGGCTAAGCATACAGCCCTGAGGGGCCCCTATATTGATGACCAGCATGGAAGAAAGCTTTCCATCGACACTCAGTCTGTGAACTGCCATTTAGGAAAACCAGAATCCAACTCCAGATCCAAGACCGGTGCTGATACCCAGATCAATAAGCTTGGTGATTAGTCTGGATGGAATTATAGTATTAAAGGTGGAGGTGTAATCAATGAATAGCATTCTTACATATATGTAGTACAAGGAGGTAGCTGCATCAACATGCATAGGGATGCAAAGGAACAGGTAATGGGTATATTCCATGCTGAAAAGAAAAGAAAGGACAATATTTCAGCTGTGGAGCCTTCTTCAGGTTTGAGAAAGACAGGGTAGATGGCAAAGATTAAATAGCACAGGAGAACAAAAGCTGGAAAAGGTGAGGAGGAGGGAAAGGCAGAGAGGTGACTCAGGAAGTGTTAAATGGGGAGGGGTGGAGAAAGATGTAAAAGTCAAAACCTGCATGCAAATGGAGAAGTTTACACAAAAATAAGTCTTTCATTGAGAGAAGAGGAAAGGTGTGAACCTAGTTTCAGGATGAGTTAAGTTTCTGTTGTCTTTCTGCTGTGAGAGCTGAGAAAGCCTTCTTTGAGAACAGAGACATTCTTAGATATGTATCAGTATGGAGAGCCAGGGAAACAGCATCATCAGTGAGACCTATTACATTGGTATGCAAACTGCAGGGGGCCTGAGCACTCAAGGTACCTTGGAGTTAACATGCCCAGCCTTTCAAAGCATTTCATTATGAAGGATGTGAGCGCTAACGGTGTGTAATCATTAAAATAGGTCACAGTATTTTTCTTCAGCACTTGTATAATAGTGATGTTCTTAACACACATGGAAACGGAAGATTGTAAAAGTAAAATATATCTGTAATAAAGGACCCGTCCAGGAATGCCATCCAGGCTTGTCGTCTTCCATACGTTCACCCTCCAAAAATCTGTCCTGGCTTCAGCCTTCATGACAAACACAGCCATACCTCTAAAGAGGCTTGGAGCACAGTTCCATAACTTCATTCTCAAACTAAGCATAATAGGCATTCAGCTCACCCGGTCGGGAGAAATCAGTGTCAGTTCATGTAACAATACTTATTTAAGCTTTATATAAATATTCATATATATGAATACCCCACCGCATTTGGTGCACATCTGGAGAGGTAGCTTGTATTTCTAATTTGTTTCTATATTGACTTTTAGCATCCCTGATAGCTCTCTGCAGGTCAAACCTGCTTTTACAGGTCTTAATTGCTAGATTTAAAAGCTTTAGATCGTGTTTACAGCTTGCTACGAAGATTGCTAGTAAACCATGGTTAGGAAACCATGTTTGTCTTAATAAAATCGGTGACGACTGTAGTGAACTCATGCAGGCTTGCAGATGAACTTTTAAACATGGCCCTATCCATACATTCAAAGCAGTCCTGCAGAACGTCATCTGTCTCTTCCATCCAGTGTTGTATCGTTCTTGTCAACACATTCTCCCGCTTCAGCTTCTGCTTGTAAGCCTGCAGGAGAAGCACCAACAGATGATCCGACAGTCCAAAGTGCGAGAAAGGGATAGAACGGTAAGCTTTCTTTGAACTTTGACAGTCGTGTAGCAGAAATCACGAAATCACCCCAAGTGGGGTGTGGGACATGCTGGTAATATTTCAGAAGAACGTTCCTCAGGTTGACCTAATTACAGTGGGGTGGAATATACACCACAGACATAAAATTAGATGAAAATTCTCTTGGTGGATAGAAAGGACAACATTTCCCAGTCAGATATTCCAGATCCAGAGAGCAGCATCGCTTTAGAGTTTCCACATCTAAGCTCCATCAGTTCTTTATCATAAGCCATACAACCCGTCCCTATTTCTTACCAGACGAACCTGACCAATCCGTACGATACATGGAAAATCCATCAAGCTGAACGGCTGAGTTAGGTGTGTTTGAGGTCATCCAGGTCTTGCTGATACAAAGAATACATCAATCCTTTATGTCCTGCTGATAACTTAACCTTCCCATTAGCTTTTCCATCTTATTCTTCACAAACTGTACGTTGGCCAAGAGAACACTCAGAAGTGGTGTGCAGGAGTTACTGCATTTCCCTCTCACTTGAAGTTCTCCCTGTCTACCGCACTTCCACATTTGGCTGGTTCTGTTCTGAGTTGGGGGGGGGGGGTAGTCCATTTGCAGAGATACACAAGATAGTCGAATGTCTTAAACTGGCAGGCTGAAGAAAATTATCATTTGTAGTCTTCAATAGATAAGTATATAATGGTAAGTGCTACACATATTCAAAACCCCCACAGGCAACAACAATGTCAACCCAGTGAACTTCTTCAGAATAAAACCTGAAACAAAAAACAATGTGAAAGTGCTTTTGAATCCAAAAACAGGAGGCATTTCATTACCTAAAGTGAACTGGGATTATAGTACAAGCTGCTCTGCTGTGCTGTTGAAGCCAACAACTTGGCTTCCTTCAAAAACTGGCTGAATGAGATCCTGGAATCCTTTGATTAGTAAATGATCTGGATAAGCCCAATGTCATCCTCTACTTTGTAACCTTTCTTATATTCATATTTGAAGCTGGAATGGTGGAGCAGCTCATTATTATTATTTACCCAACAGCTGCCATGTGAAGCTGCCTCTGTAGTGACAGAGGTAAAATCTGCACTTCTTTGCAGGGAAAGAAGGTTATGATAACGACCCAACATACCTTTCAGGTGGAATGCAGTCATTAGCTCAAAGGATAGCTGCCAGAGGACAGGCAATTACAGTTCACAAAGCAACTTGGAAGCAGAACAATGTGAGGGAAATGGCTGATGTTTAGAAGGGGTATTTCACTCAGGTGTTCAGAAATGAAGAAGTCCACAACACAGGAAGGACAACGTTTTCTGTTAAATACTATTAGCATAGAAGAGGTTGAAGTGTGTCACCTGAAGAAGGCTCCATGGCTGAAACGTTGTGTTTTCTTTCTTTTTTGCAGCCTGGAATAAACCTATTACTTGTTCCGTTATCCTACACTGTCCAGTTGAATGCAATGAGCCTTTTTAGTCTTAAAAAGAGACAATTAGAAAGGGATACTTGAGAATTCAAAATCCTTAAAGGCATAGACAGCCTAGTGGACTTCTTCAGAACACAAGTGGAAATTTATGTAGGAGTACATTAGAAGTTCAGGACAGGAAGCACTTCTTAACCCAAAGGGTTAGGAGTTCCGGAACAATCTGCCCAGCCAACAGTCAACTGTAATTGCTTTTTCCCCTTTTTTGCATTTTCCTGGCATTTTTTATACTCTCCATACTTCTCCTACCTGTTGCTCGGGAGATCATTGTCCCTCTCCACAAAAGCCACCTGGTTAAGCTTGTGTATCGTGACCCAGAACCTGCCACTTCAGTCCCAAATCCCAGTGGTCGGCATCCCCCTCGGGATGTGGCTCCCATGGAGAAAGGGAAGGAAATACGACCACAGGGAACACGTCTCCGAGTTCAAGGATATTGATGTGAGCTAAGGCTCATAGGTGTCCACAGACATCGCTGATACCCAGTAGCATTATGATTAGCTCCTGAGCTGGTCTTAAGGACTTGTAAACCATAACACACATCTCCACAGGCTTGGTGCAGATGGATAGAGTCTCCAGCCACCAAGAAATAGCTTACCATCACAATGACAGCACACCTAGATGATGTGTGGCAGCCATTCTGCAGCACTCCACCAACTGAACTTCAGGGGCGCCAGACTGGATCATAGGCAGAACACCAGGCTTCACTCCCCTGCTCGTACAAAAAGTGAAATGAGATATTTAATGTAGTAGTCCAGGACTGCATTTAAACACCTCATCTACAGGATGGCACGTCCAGCAGCACAGTGACTCCTGATACCAGACTGTGACATTGTTTTTTGGAAATTCGAGACCACAATGAGGAAATTCGAGACCACGAAATCTGCACAATGAGGAATAGCACCTGCTGCTACAACAGCACCATTTGTAGCAGTAACCTGAGGTCTCCCATCCCACTTGTCACTAGGTCCAACTTTGCAAGATCATGCTTTAAGATGGTATCATTGCTACTGAGCAGCTCAAGACAGTCTCTTCACACAACAGTGCATTGAATGCTTTATGCAGGTCTAAACAGCTGTTTTAACCATATGGTAGTACCCCTTCATGACGGATTGCACTCTATTCCTTAATTTATCTACACAAACTACTGCATTATTGATGCATCGTAGGCCTGCCTGTCCTGAGTCTCCTTTTTATTGTAATTAATCACAAAAGAAGATAACCACCAAGGACAAAAAAAACACAATTTAAAATACATACATATACATACATTTGTATATGTGATAACAAAATGCGATAATAGAAGTTTCTTAAAAAATACAGGCTTTGGTTGCACGTAAAGATGAACCATTTAAAGTGTAGGGTGAAATAGTAAACTTAAATGTGCCACTTTGGGCTGAAAAATATGGTCTGTACATGACTCCATTCTTTTTTTTAAATGAGATAATCAATTAAATAAAAAGAGGAATACACACATACTTATCTCATAAAACTGAAGTCTTTAATTTTATTCTTATTCTGTTATTAACAGGTCCCTCGTGGCAAACTCTGTTTCCTAGCGACCGTGGTGTGGAAACAGGCTGGGAGAGGTGAATCAGGCTTACACACGTTTATTGCGCTACTATTTAGAGAGGAATGTGATAGTCACAGTCAGGAAGAGAGGTGGAAAGACTGAGAGAGAGATGTAGAGCACCTGATGGACAGACAAGAGCACAAAGAGACAGAACAGGGACTTGCCAACGTGCCCTCCATATTACAGGAGGAGATCCCGTTCATCCAGAAGTGTAAAGGTTATGGGACAGTCCAATGCCATGGCAGCACAACACTTCAAGGATTCATTTATGAAAATCAAAGCCTTTTGTTTCACATCATAAATAACTCGATATAACAAGGCTATAAACCAGTTATTAATCTATTAATCTAACCAATATTAATCCCTACTGAACAGAAAGAGGGAGCTCCTCAGACTCCTACAAAGTCGTCACTGGTAGACAACATTTTTTTTATTTAAAATCAGATCAAATCAAAGTTTATTTATCAAATGCACAAAAATTCAGCGTGCAGCAGTAGTTGCTGGCAATTAAATGTCTTTTCTTCGAGCTCACAAAAATCACAAAAACACAAAAATCACAAAATTAAGATTAGAAATTGAATAAAACTCAATATGAATAGAGTTGCTATGTGTCCATGGTGTATGCAATATATACAAGTAGTGCAGTATGCTAAATACAGTGAAAACTGTGTGTCCATGTAGCCATTACAGGTGATTTGCTAAAGGAGCTGCAGGTTGGCTATCTAGCAGTCTTATTGCCTGGAGGTAGAAGCTGTTCCGTTGTCTGTTGGACTTGGACCGAATGCTTCGGTACCGTTTACCGGATGGTAGGAGGGAAAACAGTTTGTGACTGGAATGACTGTGGTCCTTGAGAATGGACCTGGCCTTCTTAAGACATCTAGCCGAGTAGATATCCTGGATGTTTGGTAGCTCACAGCCGGTAATGAGCTGCGCTGACTTCACCAACCTCTGCAGTACTTTGCGATCCCTGGCAGAGCAATTCCCATACCAGGCAGTGATGCATCCAGTCAGAATGCTCTGCTCTCAATAGTGCACCTGTAGATGTTGGCCTGCATATGTGATGGCATGCCAAACCTCTTCAGCTTACGGAGAAAGAATAGGCGCTGCCATGCTGTTTTGACCACGGTGTTGGTGTGGTGGGTCCAGGTTAAGTCCTCTGAGATGTTAACTCCCAGGAACTTAAAACTGCTGACCCTCTCCACTGCAGTAACATTGATGTAGAGAGGTGTGTGATCTCCTCCCTGATGTTTCCATGTTTCCTATAATCCACAATCATCTCCTTAGTCTTACTGATGTTCAGGGAGAGGTTGTTCTCCTGGCACCATGCTACCAGGGTTTCAACCTCCTCCCTGTACGCAGACTCTTCACCATCTGTGATCAGGCCGATGACTGTTGTATCATCCGCAAACTTAATGATGGAGTTTGAGTTATGCCTGGCGACACAATCATGGGTAAATAAGGAGTAGAGGACAGGGCTAAGCGCACAGCCTTGGGGGGCTCCAGTGTTTAGAGTCAGGGTAGAGGATATGTTGGTGCCCACCCTCACCACCTGCGGACGTTCCGTCAAGAAGTCCAGGATCCAATTACAGGGGGAGGTGTTCAGTCCCAGGTCCTGGAGGTTGATGACAAGCTTTGAGGGCACTATGGTATTGAATGCTGAGCTGTAATCAACAAACAGCATTCTCACATATGTTCCATTCTTATCCAGGTGTGAGAGGGCAGTATGGAGGGCAGTGGCAATAGCATCTTCTGTTGGCCTGTTCTGGCGATACGCAAATTGCAGTGTGTCTTGGGTGTCAGGCAGTGAGGAGGTGATGTATGCTTTGACCAACCGCTAGAAGCACTTCATGATAACTGATGTGAGTGCAACAGGGCGGTAGTCATTCAGGCAGCTGACTCTGGGTTTCTTAGGAACAAGGACAGTGGTGGTTTTCTTAAAGCAGGAAGGAACTGTAGACTGAGCTACAGAGAAATTGAATATGTCTGAGAAGACATCTGCCAGCTAGTCTGCACATGCCTTCAGAACACGGCCAGGGATAGCATCAGGGCCAGGAGCCTTGCGTGAATTGGTCTTTTTAAAATCCGCTCTGAATATGATCAGTGGGTTTCCGTCTTGGATTTCTGGAATCTTCCTGACTGGATCTGCGTTACTGACCTCAAACCAAGCATAGAATTAATTTAGCTAATCAGGAAGAGAGACAGACTGCTGTGCGATATACAGTAGTTGGGTTGCGTTTTGTAGTCTGTAATGGTGCATATTTAAAGTAAATAGATTACTTTAAATTTGTTGGAGCTGTGGATATGGTACACAAGTTCCCATTACTGTTAAAAGAATATTGTCAAAGCGCTTCTTCTCTCAGCAGTTGGCATCATTTATCCAAGTATACCAATATCAGTCAATCACAGGACCCAGATGCGAGTTAAACGGCTCTGGAAATAATTATCAGTATCACCTGAAAACTGCCTGAGGCGCTAAAAAGCTAAAGCAGCTGAAATCACATGCTAAGTGAAAAGCGTCTCAGTTTTATAGTAATTAAAAGCTTTTAGTGTACCAATGAGGGAGGGCAACTTCATCCAGTTTTTTTTTTAAGACCGAACCCTAACCCGAAGGTCGACCGAAGGTAAATTTAACAATATTTGCATGTGACAAACAATAATTTCCGTTACTGACTAATTTACATAAAATACATGACATTGCTCGGTTTTACTGGAACAAAAGCGAGGGCACTGAACACCTATATGCACAGTGCGTTCAATGGTTTTGGTATAGTATAGTGACATCAAAAAGAGCTGTTCGTGTTTAACATTAAAAGTTCTTATTTCTATTTAAAATTCTTTTTAACATTAAAATCTCTTATTGCTATTTAAAGTTTTTATTAAATAGATTTACAGACGTAAATAGGAAAAGAACTACTCTCTACAATTTGACTGAAAATCCGTGTCCTAGCGACCGTCCTGTCCTGGTGTTCCTGGAGTTAAGGTTCTCTCGTCGTAATCAGCTTGGAAGAAGCGATCGTTACTGCGTCTTTAAGAGGGGGGGGGAGAGAGAGACACGAAATCTGCTCGGATACAGAATCATCACGGCGCAGCAGCAAGAAGCTTTCATGCGATGTGAGGAAACTCACGTACACCTGAAAATTCTCTTTACGAGCAAAACTGGGATCCCGCTTGAGCGATAGAAACTGGAAAGGGCACTCAAGTGTGTTATAATTCAACGGTGGCGCAGATGCCTTGTGACCGGAGTGCAATTTAGCAGACGAATTCCTACACTGTAGACTTTCATTGTTCAAATTCCATTTTATTTCACTGAGACTAATTCTCCTATCAAAACTAACATTTGCACAATTTCTCGGACAGAGTTTAAGTGTTTCCATCCTTTTTTTTGCTTATTTAGATTTCTCAGAAATAACTTCACAACAACATCTTTTAGGTGTTCACGTCTCTCAAAAGTTATTTTAGGAAACGGATATGTTCGCATCTGCTACCAGAAAGGGGTATTTAGAGATTAATTTAAATGGCATTTTCTTTAGAAAAGAGACTCAGTAGTTCAGACAGAAAAAAGTTTATGTAAATTTGACCATTTTAAAATGCTGAAATGTTTCCTTCCCAAGTATCTCCACTGTGTTGTTCATAGGATGTACTCTAAACAGCAAGCTTTGTGTTATGAAAAAGAAAATATTTTAAATATCTTGCCTACCTCCAGACAATTATCTAACACTGTGAAGGTCAGAAAAATGGATAGCTTAAAAGGACAAGGTTACTGAGGATATTTGCTGATATGTTTTAATAATAATAATAATAATTGCTTACACTTATATAGCGCTTTTCTGGACACTCCACTCAAAGCACTTTACAGGTAATGGGGACTCCCCTCCACCACCACCAATGTGCAGCATCCACCTGGATGATGCGACGGCAGCCATAGTGCGCCAGAACACTCACCACACATCAGCTATCAGTGGGGAGGAGAGCAGAGTAATGTAGCCAATTCATAGAAGGGGATTTTTAATGACCACAGAGAGTCAGGACCTCGGTTTTACGTCTCATCCGAAGGACAGCGCCTGTTTACAGTATAGTGTCCCCATCACTATACTGGGGCATTAGGACCCACATGGACCACAGGGTGAGCACCCCCTGCTGGCCCCACTAACACCTCTTCCAGCAGCAACCTTAGCTTAGTTTTTCCCAGGAGGTCTCCCATCCAGGTACTGACCAGGCTCACACCTGCTTAGCTTCAGTGGGTTGCCAGTTGTGAGTTGCAGGGTGATATGGCTGCTGACATATGGCATTAAATGTAGGAAAAACTCAATATATTTCACACACTTAAGATCCTGCAAAATCAAATAACAGAAACAATCTCATTTTTAAAAAATCCTTTAAAAAATTGTATTTTAATAAAAGGCAAAGTGTTTACTATTTTCTAATATACTGAATACAAATCTGACTGTTAACTAACAAATCCTCTTCTGCAGTCTTGTTCTAACCAGCTATTCTAGAGCCACAAGTCTTTTAAAAAATTGAAAAATCAAAATCATGAGAATGCTGGGAATGTTTTTTGTTTGTTTGTTTGTTTGTTTGTTTGTTTGATCTGTAATGGGTTTACAAAGGCACAGTGCTTAGCATTGCTGCCCTGGTTGAATTTGGGACCTGGGATGGTTTCTGTGAGGAGATTGTAAATTCTCCCCATGTTTGTGTGGATTTCCTCCCACTGTCCAAAAATATACACAGGTTAATTGGCTTCTAAGAACATTGGCCCTGGTTTTGTGTATGTGTGGGTCTGTGTGTCTGCCTTGCAATGGACTGGCGTCCTGTCAAGGGTGTAACCTGCCTTCCACCTGTTGCTTAAATAGGCTCTGGCTTCTCCGTGACACTGAATTAGAAAAAGTTAGAAAATGGATAGAGGAGCAACATTTTTGCTCTCTAGTAAGCATGGTTACTACTAGTAATGTTGTAAGGAACTGAACCATTTAAGTCTTGAACAGAGAAAACAATTAGGGGACCTGATACTAGTATTAAAAACCTTCAGAAGTACTGAAAAGTCAACCCCATGTGAAACAACCCAGAGGACACAAGTGGAAACAATGGAGCGGTTTATTTCTGAAACAGAGATTGAGGGAGGATGTGCTTGTATACCCAAAGTGCTGTGGGAATATAGAACAATCTATCCTGCCATGCTGTTGAAAATGCCAGAGTATTGGCTTCACGAAACAGCTGGATGAGATCCTTGGGTCAATTACTTATTATCTATCAAATGAGCTCGATGGATCAAAGGACCTCCTCTCATTTGTAACCTGTACATTTGTAACCTTATGTAATAAATCTTAAGAGTTTGTTTTAAGAAATCTTTCTGGATTTATTGGAGTTGGCAGTCTTCCAATCTCATTATGAGACATAAATGGTGTTTTCTCACACAAGCAGTGACATAGACTGGCAGGCCAGTTTTGCTAAGTTTGGCTATTATAACACAGGTCAGCACATTGTGTGATGTTTGACTTTACAGTGTGGAGAAATGGTCATGATTCTGAATGTATTACATGGGTTCATCTTCTTGCTTGAACACTGCTATGGTACCCTTGGGCATGGTGCTTTTTAAAGTGCAAAGTCCAGTAAAATCCCAGTGAAATGCTCTGCTGTATAATTGGGTGCAAATGTAAGCATAACACAGATAAATCAAAAATAATTTTCTGCTCATTTTATGGTATCCCACCAAAACTCTACCATATTGTTGTGTTATGTGAAAACAAAATTTGTAGTGTGCATTCTTTAAGTACATATGTTCAGTTGTGACCTAGGAGGATACAAAATATTTTTAAAAAGATTAGTTTAAAGTCCTGAGATGCTGCATATTTGTTGAGACAACAGTGCTTAAATCTTCATCGTTAGTAGAACAGAAATACTAATAAGATGAGGACAGGAATTTATCTTGAAATCTGAATGTACTTAAAAAATGCCTTTTCTTCCATCAAAAAGTCATACATCTCCCATACAGCTATTAATTATGTCCAGATCTTTTCCGTTAATAGTGAAACCATGTGAAAATACAGAGGATGCATTTTGGTACAGTAGATGCAAGGGCAAAAAACTACCACTTTAACATAAAAAGTGTATGCATCAAAGATTTAAACCATTTCGTTTTTTTAAAAAGTCCAATTTAAAACACAAATCCCAAGTGATGTTTCCCCATTTTTAGCATGTTATATAAGGAGAAGATAAGCAGACTGGTTAGAGATCAGGATATTTTAATCCTGAAAAAGGACAGGGCAGTCACGCAACCTGCTTAACAAGGTCCTGCAAAATGAGATGAAACCGAGAAACGTTTCTGCCTGGTTTGCCAAGCAGAAAAACAAAAAAATTACATTTAGTGTTAGGGAATCCTACCCGCTGAGCCAGGAGAGACTTCGACGGCAGAAGTGGGGTCTCAGACTTTCCGTACTCTGTGATCAATAATCGTGGGCAGAGCACTTTTGCCAGGCACCATCAGAACTAGCAGTGGACCCGGTCTGTCTGCCGCTGTAGATGCTGTGATCCTGTTGCCATCCTGTTTTTGGCACAGCAGCAGCAGCACAACGTGATTCCGAGCACATTCCAAATGGAGGACAGACCCGCAGGCTGACACTGTAATAATTGCTAAAGCCTTTAAACTGTAATACCCACGCATCACTCTCATCATTAACACATCACAATAATACTGTCCAAAGTAGAAGACCCCTTTTCTGCTGCTTCCATTTTTAACTTTCTCATATATAAATCATTTCATTGAAGTCTTGTAATTGCTCATACATCTCCATCTTATTGCCACCTGTTTTTCTGAGGTGTTACGGAGAAGAGGAGTTTACAGTATATTGCTCCGCAATAGCAATTAATGTTTCTTTACAGAGCCTCACCTTTTCCTGGTGTAGGCATTCCAACATGGTGATAATAATAGCCCAGCAGCAGCACTACAATTTGCATAAAGGGAGATAAATCTCAATTCCAAGAAGTTTATCATGTAAAGATGATCAACCTGGTGATAGACATGATGGTTTTAAGGAATTTAAAGGCTTTAAATGAGCACAAATGTCTGAACTTTAACTACATCGAGAAGTGGTCATTTACCGAAAAAGGCAGTGTTTTGAGATGCTATTTGAGAACAAATTTTACAGTACAAAAGAAAGCAGCAAGGTAGGGTAAAAAAACAGAGGTATGGGCAGATATACTGCACCTTTAGTTTAAATTGAGTACAGGACTGGGCTTGTTTATTGGAGTTTGCTGAGGACTTAAATCTTGTCAGTTTAGCTTCAGGGGGTGCATAGCATCTAAAAAATTTGATAAGCACAACTAGTGGAAAACCGTAATGAAAAAAATATGATTCTAGAGGCAGTCCTTTTAGAAAAGGTGCGGTTAGTTTTTTTAGAAAGCCACCCTAATTAGGTTAAAGTAGTTCAGGTGGGGAGCTGTGTCAGGATGTATAGGCTGCAAAGGAACAAGTAATAGGTTTATTCCATTTATTCCTCACACCTGAAGAAGGCTCCACGGCCGAAACATTGTTTTTCCTTTCTTCTGTCTCTTCAGCATGGAATAAACCTATTACTTGTTCCTAATGAGGTTAAGGTTGCTTATTTTATCAGTTCAGCAAAGCTAACTCCCATTGTTAAAGTCAGGGACTAGCCCAGCTGCTTCCAAATTAATCATTGCAAACAGCATCCAAATTTACTTCACATAAATAATCTGTTCTGTAACTTAATCTGTTAAAACTGCAGATAAAGACTGGGGTTCACTGTCAGTCTCACTTTCTTCTGTCAATCCTTCTGTGTATCAGAAACAAGTTGTGGCGCATCTTTTATGACACGTGACTCATCCCTGTGTTATTCTTTTGTTGAGCTATAAACGTTGCAGTAACCTCGTGGAAATTTATACCCTGTACTTTTCCCCTTCCACCCTGAACACAATTCTGTTCTTGTGTACCAAGGGCAGGTCCTCCAGTCTGGACAGGCATGTCATTCTTTTTAACTCCATTAAGAGCAAATCCATCAAGACTAATACACTGCAAATGAACGCCTATTAATTAAAAGGACCCCCTGCTATTGCATGTCTTTATGAGCATGGATCATTAGATGTCATGTTTCTGAAGATTTGGATTGTAATTTCCCAAAAGCAGAAGTGGGAAGAAATATGTGAAATAAAAAGGCTGCTAATATTTAATTTTACTGAGAACTAAGGATGATCCTTTCAGGGTCAACATTGATGTTCTACACTAGTGTGTATTTCAATTATTTTACAAATAATTAGAAAAAATCTAAAAATGTGAACCAGACCTAACACATTTTACGAAGGAAACTTTCTTTCATACAAGAGAAATTTAAATCTGCCAGTGTTTCCAAACTGACTGTAATAAGACCATAAATATCCAATATCCATAGACCTTTATCCAAATATAAAGTCATATGAGTAATGTATATGTTTGCAGCTAGCTTTAAAATAGGTTGCAGGTTTAACATGAAAGAAAACTGTTTCTATTAAAAAGCATAGTTAATCTATCTTTTCTACTTTTGAAATAGAGGACTTTTTACTTTATCCATTCCACCTTCATTTGGTTGACAGGTTCAGTTAAGTGTTATCATTACAAGAATATCACGTACATAACAAAACCTACTGGAAGGATGCGGTACAATTGATCAGAAACAAAAGAAAAAGACACGTCAACTATAACTGTAACCCCCTTCCCATAGTGATTTGTACACATGAGAGGACACAGCATTTTTACTCATGCCATACTGCCTTACTTTACATAGTGAGTTAATCTAGTGTAAAATTGGGTGTATAAACAGTGGATATCTCCTAAATCCCACTGTCTCATTCAGCAGAGCCAAGCAAATAGTTGACATTCAGCACAAAGTGGTGGTTACCCACACCCCTCCCACATTCCTCTCTAAATTTGGAGCCCTAAGGTCAAACCAAGGGATGTCCTCCGGAAGATGAAAGAAACCCAAATCTGACAGCACTCCTGTCTTTCTCACTGTGGTCAGAAGATACTCAAGTCAGCTGTACAGAATTCAATATTGAATTGTTAAATTGACAAGTGAGAAATGTAAGGATTTCTCTTTTTAGAAGAAGAAACTGAACTTCCATTTCTAAGCAAGAATGTTAAATTGACCTACACTAGTGCTCTCTTCCTCTCTTCCTGTATTGATTACCTTCTGTTCACCTAAACAGATAAAAAAATCTGTTTTTATTGACGATTTTAACCTTCTCATCACTCTGTCACTAGTTTCTCTGAGTCACTTGTATGAAATTCCATGTTGAATTGTTCATTCCTTCGGTGAGAAATTTAAAAGTTAATTCTCTGAAGGGTGCTCAGAATTTTATTAGTTGTTCAATCACTTTATATTAAAAACATGTAATGTGATGCGGTATCCCACTCTATAGGCTAGCAGCTGTTTTTCACCTGATGTTATTTTTCTATAAATAATAACCACATAGTTCTTTATTCTATAATGTACAATACACCCAGAAACCACATAGTATGAAACTAAGTGTATTTACATTTTTTGGCTTTGGGAAGTAATTTGAATTTGAACTGTCCTTCTTTCATTAAATGTTTGATTACTTCTCTGTAACCAATGTTTTATTACAGAGACAGGAAGAGTCTTCAGGGTCTCACTTCATGAGAAATTTTCATGAAAGGAGTACACAGTACAAAGGTCTGTTTCAGCAGATGATGCTGGTATTGCCTTGACTGTTTTTTAAGACTTTTACATTTCCAAATTGAAGTTCATTGATGGGCTTATTATAAACCTTGCCATTCATATTCTCTTCCTATATTATTTACCTGGAACACCTGCATCCAGATCACCTTATCACCCATAGTCCAGAAAGTAAATATTCATGACACAGTAATGTGCAATTGACGACATATGGACAGGTACAAAGAAAATTGCAACACAAGCTGATAAGAATATTGCATTATTGCTGCATAAAGAACGGAAATTATCTCTGAGAAGAGACAAAGTTCACTCTCTACAGCGAATTAGACAAACCACTACCTATTATATTTTGTGAGCCAGTTTTAATGGTATGATTCAAAGAGCTATAAACTTGTGCAATTGGTTGCTTTTTATTTTAAGATTTATTAAAGACAGCATGGCCTGCATCTTTTATATACCTTGACTAACTGTTACATATCTAGTTAAAGAGTAAATTGGTTTGGACATGAGTAAAATAAAGACTGAGTGTATGGTCAAGATATTTCTTTAAAAATATGCTTATTGATTTAAATACCCCTTTTTATTTTTGATTTGTTACTTCTCACCTCTCATGTTTGAAGTACAAAACCATGATTTTTTTTATTTTAACTAATTACCAGATATGAGGAAATTAGAATGACAAAAATTTCATCTTACCATGCATGAAAGATATGCAGTATGTGTGTTTCAACAAGTTCTACAGTTCTGCTTTTGCAGATATGTTTATTCATATGCTTTGTTATTTAACTCACGTTGTACAAGGACATTGGACAACTGAATGCAACAACAAGGAGAGAAATGGCATATGTCTTACATTTTAAAATTCATTTGAAAATGGACTATTCTGAATACCGTAACATTTTACTAAAGGTCTATGGAAATCATTCTTAAAGGATATGACTACATAAAGATGGGAAATTAAAACTAACAGAAATCCTCTGGGCTTCCTCGCTGCTTTAACTTATTTAACCTCTTTGGCTGGCTCATTTCCTAGCTCTGACATCATCTGAATCGCTGGCTAAGCAGCACTGTGCTGCTTTTAGAACTGGAGCGACTATTGTAGTCATGTGACCTCCAGTAAGGCGTGGCTGGGGACGACATGAGTGGAATCACATAGGCACATTGCAGCGCCTTAGTCAAAACCAACAGTAAAACCACTGACTCAGACATCAAACACAGCTGAGAATTTAGAGTAATGTTGAGACCATCTTTTGAGTCAGGAGCCCAGACAAGCCAGTGCATCCAGGGCAGGATGTTTGTCTGACTGTTAAGTGGGTCCAAAGTCCAGATTTTTTAAACTGCATTGGAAACGTCAGATTAAATGAAATATCAAACTAAAATATTAATTATCTTTCCAGGAGAGTACTTTTTCTCCAAGACCTGCCAGCCCTCCAGGTTTTCTTATGACCAGAGCGTTCAATGGCTTTAATAAATACATTGTTTTAATTGTTTTACAGCTTTAACAAATTCCTAAGTCTCAGGCCATGGAGTTTCATAGCCTCACCATTTTTTCTTACACAACTTTGCATTTTTAATGAAACCATGAACCACAAATAACAAATAAAAAAAACAAATTTGACAAACTCAAAGTCATCACTGTCAGACAATCGGTGATCTCAACTTATTCTTAAAGACTCAGCTTTATATAGTCATACAGCATCTTCTAAAGTCCCTGTCGATTGCAAATTTTTGGAGTGTTTTTGGTGTTCAGATAAGTATTTTAAAGTTACTGTGTATGATATCTGTAAATCAAATTTTTACTTT